GGACGGGCCGGATCCAGACGCGGTCCTGCGGTCCGGCCCTGTTGAGGGCAGCCGTCAGCATCGACAGCCCGCGCACGGTCTGGCCGCGCTCGAACAGCATCTGACCGAGCATGGCCTGCGCCCCGACATGGCCCTTGCCGGCCGAAAGGTTGAACCAGCGCGCGGCCTGACGCGGGTCGGCATGGCCGCCCTCGCCGTAAAGCAGCATGCGGCCCAGCTCGAACTGGGCGTTGGGTTCGCCGAAATTGGCCGCCGCCTGCCAGTAGAGTTCGCGCGCCTGCGCCGGATTGGCCACGACCGGCGAATTGGGAATGCCCCGCTGCACGTAGCTGGCCAGCGAGACCAGCGCATTGGCGACGAAGGTGGACTCCTGCGAGCCGGGCGCGGCGCCTTCGCGCACGATGCCCTGGAACAGCTTGAAGGCTTCATAGTCGTTTTCCGCAACGCCGTCGCCGGCCGCATACATGTGGGCCAGCTTCCAGCGGGCGCCCGAATGACCCTGTTCGGCGGCATCGCGATAGGCGCGGAACGCCTCGTCCTTGTTGCCGCTCTGATAGGCGGTAAAGCCGAACCGGAACAGCGAACGAATGCTGTTATGGGCGGGCGCCGAAGACACACCGCCCTGCTCGTCGAACGCGTGGGCCGCCGGGACGGCGGCTGCGGCAACACATGTCGCCAGGCCGAGGGCGAGAACGCCCCCGAGCCATTCCTTGAACGCAAACTGCGACATCAGATGTCCGCGTAACACTGTTTTTCCTTCGCCCCGCCCGGATGGGTCACCGCGCCATGGCGCGCATCGCCAACCGTCTGGGCATATTTCCATAGCGTGCCGGACGTATAGTCCGTTTCACGCGGTTTCCATTCCTTGCGGCGCGCGGCCAGTTCGTCCTCGCTCAACGCCACATCCAGTGTCCCCTCGACTGCGTCGATGGTGATCTCGTCGCCATCGCGCAACAGCCCGATCGGGCCGCCCACCGCCGCTTCCGGCCCCACATGGCCGATGCAGAAGCCACGCGTCGCCCCGGAAAAGCGGCCGTCCGTGATCAGCGCGACCTTGTCGCCCATGCCCTGGCCGTAGATCGCCGCCGTCGTCGACAGCATTTCCCGCATGCCCGGTCCGCCCTTCGGTCCCTCATAGCGGATCACCAGCACCTCGCCGGCCTCGTAATTGCCGCCATTGACGGCATCGAAGCATTCTTCCTCGCTGTCGAAACAGCGCGCCGGGCCGGTGAATTTCAGCCTCTTCATGCCTGCGACCTTCACGATCGCCCCGTCCGGCGCCAGATTGCCCTTCAGCCCGACCACGCCACCTGTTTTGGTGATCGCCTTGTCGACCGGATAGACAACGTCCTGCTCGTCGTTCCAGCGCACATGCTCCATGTTTTCGGCTAAAGTGCGGCCAGTCACGGTCATGCAGTCGCCATGCAGGAAACCGCCGTCGAGAAGCGCCTTCATCAAAAGCGGAATGCCGCCGGCCTCGAACAGGTCCTTGGCGACATATTTGCCGCCCGGCTTGAGGTCCGCGACATAGGGCGTCTTCTTAAAGATCTCGGCGACGTCGAACAGATCGAACTCGATACCGCATTCATGGGCGATCGCCGGCAGATGAAGCGCCGCATTGGTCGATCCGCCCGATGCGGCGACGACGGCTGCGGCATTTTCCAGCGCCTTGCGCGTGACGATGTCGCGCGGGCGGATGTTGCGGGCGATCAGTTCCATCACCTTTTCGCCGGCGGCAAAGCCGAACCGGTCGCGGATTTCGTAGGGCGCCGGCGCACCGCACGAATAAGGCAGCGACAGGCCGATCGCCTCGGCAACCGTCGCCATCGTGTTAGCGGTGAATTGCGCGCCGCACGAGCCCGCCGACGGGCAGGCCACCTGTTCGAGTTCGGCCAGATCCTCGTCACTCAGATTGCCGACCGAATGCTGGCCAACCGCCTCGAACACATCCTGGACAGTGACCTGCCGGCCCTTGAATGTGCCGGGCAGGATCGAGCCGCCATAGATGAACACGGACGGCACGTTCAGACGCACCATGGACATCATCATGCCCGGCAGCGACTTGTCGCACCCCGCAAGGCCGACGAGCGCGTCGTAGCAATGGCCGCGCATGGTCAGTTCGACCGAATCGGCGATCACATCGCGCGAGACGAGCGATGCCTTCATGCCCTGATGGCCCATGGCAATGCCGTCGGTGACGGTGATCGTGCAGAACTCGCGCGGCGTGCCATTGGCCGCGGCAACGCCCTTCTTGACCACCTGCGCCTGCCGCATCAGCGCTATGTTGCAGGGCGCGGCTTCGTTCCAGCACGAGGCGACGCCGACCAGCGGCTGTGCAATTTCTTCGGACGACAAACCCATCGCATAGAGATACGAGCGGTGCGGTGCACGCGCCGGCCCGACCGTCGTGTAACGGCTGGGCAGTTTGGATTTGTCGAATACAGGCTTGTCCATTGTGGTCCGATCCTTGTCGCTTGTCCCTTGGGGCAACGCAAAGTCACCCGCCGGGCAGCGCGCCTCCGGGGTTGCGCGCGGTTTATGACGGAAAAGGGGCATCCTCCCCCGTACCCTCCTTAGCGGAAATCTTTGCCGGGAAGTGTTGCCGAATCGTCACAAAGCGTGATGCGCAGACGCGTTTCCTCAACGCCCGTTCCGCTTTACGGCCCGCCGGCGCCATGTCACGCTCGGCACACCGTCAATGGAGCCGCGCCATGATCGTCCGATCGTTCCTCGCAACCCTTGCCCTCGTTGCCCTTCCGCTGGCCGCCCAAGCGCAGGAGGCAGCCGATGCCGTCGCACCGGAAGCGGCGACCGATACCGCGTTTGCCGGCACATCGCCGGCCGTGCAAGCCGCGCTGGATGCCAAACAGGCCAGCGAAACGGCCGTCGCGCAGGACTGGATGGTCGCCGCCGCCAACCCGCTGGCCGTTCAGGCCGGAGCCGATATCCTGGCCGCCGGAGGCACTGCCGCCGATGCGATGGTCGCCGTCCAGGCCGTGCTCGGGCTGGTCGAACCGCAATCGTCAGGCCTCGGCGGCGGCGCGTTTCTGGTCTGGTTTGACGCAGCAAGCGGCACGGTGACCACGCTGGACGGGCGCGAGACCGCGCCGCGCGCCGCCACGCCGCGCCTGTTTCAGGACGCTGACGGCGAACCGCTGCAGTTCTTCGATGCCGTCGTCGGCGGCCGCTCCGTGGGCACACCGGGAACACCGGCGCTGATGGAAGAAGCGCATCGGCGCTGGGGCACCGCCAATTGGGGCAGCCTGTTCGGCGATGCGATCGCGCTGGCCGAAGACGGCTTTTCCGTGTCGCCTCGACTGGCATCGCTCGTGGCCCGCGATGCCGAGCGCCTGTCACGGTTCGAGACGACGGTTGCCTACTTCCTGCCCGGCGGCGAACCGCTTGCCGAAGGTGCCATGCTGCAGAACCCGGACTATGCGGAAACCCTGCGCGCCATGGCGGCCCAAGGCGCCCGCGCCATCTATCAAGGCCCGATCGCCGAGGCGATTGTCGATACAATCCGCACGGCACCCGGCAATCCGGGCGTTCTTTCACTCGACGATCTGGAGCTCTACGCCGTCAAGGAGCGAGAGGCCGTCTGCGCGGCCTATCGCGGCCACGACATATGCGGCATGGGCCCGCCTTCATCGGGCGCGCTGACGGTCGGCCAGATCCTCGGCATGCTCGACAGTTTCGATCTCGCCGCGCTTGGGCCGGACGATCCTGAAAGCTGGCGACTGATCGGCGATGCCTCGCGCCTCGCCTTCGCGGACCGCGGCCGCTACATGGCCGACAGCGACTTCGTGCCGGTTCCGGTTGCCGGCCTTGTCGATCCCGACTATCTGGCCGAACGCGCCGGGCTGCTTGAGACCGATGCCGCGCTCGAAAATGTCGCGCCGGGCGAGCCCACTTTCGACCATGCGCTCCTGTGGGCCGACGACGAAGCGCTCGAACTGCCCTCGACCAGCCACATCTCGATCGTCGATTCAGCGGGCAATGCGCTGTCCATGACCACGACCATCGAGAACGCGTTCGGCTCGCGGCTGATGGTGCGCGGCTTTCTGCTCAACAACGAGCTGACCGATTTCTCCTTCCGCAGCCATCGCGACGGCGTGCCGATCGCAAACCGGGTCGAACCCGGAAAACGCCCCCGCTCCTCCATGGCGCCGACCATCGTCATGCGCGACGGCGCACCGGTGCTGGTGATCGGCTCGCCCGGCGGCAGCCGCATCATCGGCTATGTCGCCAAGTCGATCATCGCCCACATCGACTGGGGCATGAACGTCCAGCAGGCCATCGCCATGCCGCATCTGGTCAACCGGTTCGGCACATACGACCTGGAGGACGCGACGACCGCCACTGAGTTCGCCGAACCACTGGCTGGCCTCGGCTTTGAGATCAATGTGCGCGATCTCAATTCGGGGCTGCATGCGATCGCCATCGGCGACAGGCTCGAAGGCGGTGCCGACCCTCGCCGCGAGGGCATTGCGCTCGGCCAGTAAGATGTTGTGATCCGGTTGATCCGCTACGGCGTAAATCAGTCAGGAGATCGACGCCATGGCCCATGCAACCATGATCAATACACGGCAAAAACGCGCAAAAGGCTTGCCGCGCCTCAGCCCGGCCACAAGTGCGCATCCCCCCAAACCATCCACCCGCGTGAACGGTGCGTCCACCGCCGGAGCACTGGCACACCGCCTTCCCGCATCCCATTTGATAAGCGACGCAATTCCGAACAGGGAGAATTCGTGATGACCGCCCGCACCAACAAGGCCCTCGACCTGGCCCGTATCATGATCAAGCAGGCCAAGCTGCTCAAGGGCGCCGGCCTGATCGCCGAAGCGACCGATCTCGCCAAACGCGCGATCGCGATCAACACGCTGGGTCACGAAAGCATGCGAATGCAGGTCCAGCCGGTCCGCATCGCAGACCGCCGCCGCTGATCGCGTAGCACCGGCGGTGCGCCATCACCGGGGTGTTTCAACCCTGGCCAGCACCGTTCATTGCTCTTCGAGCGTTTCCTTGACCTTGGTCGCCAGCTGCTTGAGCGAGAAGGGTTTGGGCAGGAAACCGAACTGCGCTCCTTCCGGCAGGTTTTTCGCGAACGCGTCCTCGGCGTAGCCCGACACGAAGATGAACTTGATGTCGGGATGATCCTTGCGCAGTTCGCGCAGCAGCGTCGGCCCGTCCATCTCCGGCATCACCACGTCCGAGACGACCAGATCGACCGGCCCGTCGGCCTCGGCCATGATCTCCAGCGCCTCCATCCCGTCGCCGGCCTCCAGAACCGTATATCCGCGCGATGTCAGCGCCCGGACGCCGCCCATGCGCACCGCGTCCTCGTCCTCGACCAGAAGCACGGTGGCGGACCCGGACAGGTCGCGTTTTTCGGCATCCGGCGCCGGCTCCTTGCGCACCGGTGCCGAATCTTCCGCCCCATCCGCATCGGCTTCGTGCCGCGGCAGCAAAATGGTGAAGGTCGTGCCTTCGCCCTCCACCGATGAGGCATAGATGCCGCCGCCGGTCTGCTTGATGATGCCGTAGACCATGGAAAGGCCGAGGCCGGTGCCCTTGCCGACTTCCTTGGTGGTGAAGAACGGCTCGAAGATCTTTTCGACCACATCGACCGGGATGCCGGTGCCCGTATCGGCCACTTCGATCGCCACATAGTCGCCCGGCTCGATCCCGGGCGTTTCCATGCCGGCGACCTCGTCGGCGGGAACGTTGCGTGTGGCGATCGCCAATTCGCCGCCGCCAGCCATCGCATCGCGCGCATTGACCGTCAGGTTGACGATCACCTGCTCGAACTGACCGAGATCGGCCTTGACCGGCCACAGATCGCGGCCGTGCTCGATCGTCAGCTTGATGTCGTTGCCGATCAGCCGGCTCAGCAGCATCCGCAGATCGGCCAGCACGTCGGTCAGTGACAGCACTTCGGGCCGCAGGGTCTGGCGACGCGAAAACGCCAGCAGTTGCCGGACCAGCGACGCGGCGCGGTTGGCGTTCTGCTTGATGTTCATGATGTCCGGGAAGGACGGGTCGGACGGGCGGTGATTGCTCAACAAAAGGTCCGACGCCATGATGATGGCGGTCAGCACATTGTTGAAGTCGTGCGCGATGCCGCCGGCAAGCTGACCCACCGCCTGCATCTTCTGGCTTTGTGCCATCTGCGCTTCCAGCGCCTTCTGCTCGGTCGTGTCCATCGCATGAACGATCGCCGCCTCCTCGAGGCCCGCATCGTGGTCCGGCCCCCCGATCGGGCTGGCGACGGCGTTGACGAAGATGCGGACGTGGCGCTCGGCGCCCTCGACGGGCAGGACCGTGTCGAACGGTTCGATATTCGCCCGATTGCCCTTGGCCGCCACGAACGCCTTTTCGAACCTTTCGAGATCGCGCTCGTGAATGATCGTGTCGAACTTCACGCGCCGCGCCAGTGCATCGTGATCGACGACCGCGCCGAAAAGGCCGGCGAACGACGCATTTGTGCGCAGGATGCGCCCGTCGGCATCGAGCGCGGCGATCGCCATTGGCGTCGAGTTGAAGAAGCGGCTGAACCGAACCTCGGCGCTGCGCAGATCCTGGGCGCTGTCGGCGCCTTGCGCCCGGTTGAGCACGATCGTGCGCATCGGCCCCGGATCGCCGTTGCTCGCGGTCTGAACCCGGTGGATCAGCTGAACCGGCAGGCTCTCGCCGTTCGATTTGGCCAGTTCGACATCGACGATCGCGCTGCGCACCTTGCCCGGATCGGCCTTGATCGCGGTCAGCATTTGCACGCTGCCGCTGACGACGATGTCCGACAGCGTCATTTCGCCGGGCACGAAGCCGGTCAGGTCGATGCCGAGCCATTCGGCAAGGGTGGCGTTGACATACTGGATACGGCCGCCCGGTTCGGCGGCGAAGAAGCCGGCCGGCGCCCGGTCGAGATGGTCGATGGCCTTTTGCAGTTCGAGGAAATACTGCTCCTGCTGAAGACGCTCGGCTGAAATGTCGGCGATCCGCCACGCCTTCATCGCCTTGCCCGACGATCCGCCGGGCATCACGTGCACGCTGGCACGATACCATCGCGGCTCGCCCTGCGCTGCGCCCAGCCCGCTCAGAAGCCGGAACTCCTCCTCCGCATCCAGACCGCGCGTGGCGCTGTTGGCCAGCCGGTAAAGCGCGTTTGCCGCATCGTCGTGGCGCGACAGCACCGCTTCGGGCGGCTGCACCTCGACATCTTCGGCTGCGCCGACCAGCGACCGATAGGCGCCATTGGCAAAGATCACCGCATCGGACGCGTCGGTGACGCAGACGCCTTCGGGCAGGCTTTCGACGAACCCGTCCACAATGGCGCCTTCGCGCCGCTCGCCGGAAAACGCGACCAGCCCGATCACCGAGGCGAACAGATAAAAGACACCGACCATTGCCAGAAGGCCCAGCAAGGCCAGCAAAAACCCTTCATTGATGGAATCGCGGAAAAAGTAGAGGATGATCGTCATGGCCAGCGAGACCACGCCGAGGATCATCAGGCGGACGGTGGGCGAAGGTCCGCTGTCTTTCCGCGCATTGCTTGCGCGGCCGCCGGCGCCGTGCTTTGCCCTGGCCATCACGTTTGTCCGCCGCCTGTGTTCCGAACCTTGCGCGACCGGTTGAATCACAATCCATCTGCCCGGAAAAGCCCTTGGCGCAAAAATTTGTCACAAGGCTCGGGACTTGTTAGCACACACCGCCACAGTGAGGATCGTCCATGGACTGGTTGACCGGATTGTTCAGTGACCCCGCGACCGCAGCGGCTGCCTACGGGCTGACCGGACTGGTCGTGCTGCTGGTGCTGGTCTTCGCGTTCACCCGCATGCGCCATATGCGCCGCGGCATGTTCATCGCCGGAGGACGCAAGCACCGTCTTGCCGTTCTCGATGCGACGGCAATTGACAATCGCCGGCGCCTCGTGCTGGTCCGGCGCGACGATGTCGAGCATCTTCTGTTGATCGGCGGCAACAACGACATCGTCGTCGAGACCGGTTTTGCGGCCGGCACGGAAGACGAAGGGACGCTGGCAGCCGGCAAATCCGGCCCCGCCGCCACAGCGCCCGGGCCGGCCGAGCCCGCAACCGCTTCGGCGCGTCAGGCCGCCGGTCCGAAACCGGCCGAGCCTGTACCGGCAAAACCGGCCGCCCCGGAAACCCCGGCACCTGCGCCGCGCATTGCGCCGGCCGAACCGGCCCGTCCGCCGCAAGCGGCTCAGGCCAGGCGCGAGCCTGCCCCCGTGCCCGAGCGACGGGTTGAACCGAAGAGCGAACCGCGCGTCGAACCAAGGCTCGACCCGGCACCGCAAGCGCCGTCCCCGGCCCCGGTGCGCGCCGAGCCGCGTCTTGAGCCCCAAACCCGCTCACCGGAAAAACCGCAGGGCGCGCCGCCGGTCCAACCCGCCGCGCAGCCAGATGCCGCGCGCCAGGCACCGGTGGCGGCCGGCACCGATGTCGGCGATACGCTCGACGATGAAATGGACAAGCTGCTCGAAGGGCTGATCGACGCGCCCAAGAACGACCGCTGACCGACGCCGCCGGTCAATCCGCCTCGACAACCCAGACGCGAAACGCCGACTGGCGCTCAGTCGTCGCGATAGACCTTTTCGCGTCGTTCGTGCCGTTCCTGGGCTTCCAGTGACAGGGTCGCGATCGGCCGCGCATCCAGACGTTTGACGCCGATCGGATCGCCGGTTTCCTCGCAAAAGCCGTATGTTCCGTCATCGATGCGCTTGATCGCCATGTCGATCTTGTTGATCAGCTTGCGCTGGCGGTCGCGCGCGCGCAGCTCGATGGCCCGGTCGGTTTCCGAGGTGGCGCGGTCGGCAATGTCCGGATGGTTGGCGCTGTCGCGCTGGAGATTTTCGAGCGTTTCGCGCGATTCGCGCAGCAGTTCGTTCTTCCAGCCGGTCAGCTTCTCGCGGAAATAGGCCCGCATCCTGTCATTCATGAACGGTTCGTCTTCGCTGGGCTCGTATCCCTTGATCGTGATCTCGTCAGCCATCGCGTGATCCCTGCATGAAGATTGGCCGCTGTATAGTCTCACCCCGCCGCTGCCACAAGTTGCAATTCCGTGAAATGCCAATGGTTTTTCGCCGTCAGGGAAAGCGTTTGCGCCATGGCGTTTCTTCGGCCTTTGAACGATTGCGCCGCCGTGGCGCGCGCGATATGGCCTTTGTCGGCAACAGGGCGCCGAACCGGGAGAACAGCGATGAGCAGGCTTTTTTTGTTGCGCCACGCCAAGGCCGAATGGGCCGAGCCCGGCCAACGCGATTTCGACCGGGCGCTCGCCGCATCCGGGGTCGAGGACGCCAAGGCGCTTGCTGCCGCCATGGTCGAACGGGGCCTGCTGCCCGAAAAGGTGATCTGCTCATCCGCCGTCCGCGCGCGGCAGACGCTCGACGCGATCAACACGGTCCACGATTTGTCGGCGCTGACCAGCTACGACCAGAACCTTTATGCCACCGATGCGCCGGGCTATCTCGAAGTCGCGGCCAAATCGGGGTTCGACGGCAATCTGATGCTGGTCGGCCACAATCCGATGCTCGAAGACGTGGCGATCGCGCTTGCCAAAGATGGCGACGAAGCGCTGGTCGACGATTTGCAGATGGGCTTCCGCACGTCCGGCCTTGCGGTGATCGCGCTGGACGGTCCGATGGCCGATATCGAGAAGCTTTCCGGCCGGCTCGAGGCCTATCTGACGCCCGCCGGATCGTGAGCCCGGCGCGCCGCTCCCTTCCCCCGCGCGGCGCAAACACCTATATCGCGGCAGCGCAACGGTCCGGGACGCGGGGGCACACGACATTTGAACCGACTGACTTCGCTGGGCGACGAAGCCCTGATCGCCCTGGACACAGCCGCCGGCCGGGCAGCCGGTCTGTTCAACCCCAACGTGCGGCTCGGCGTGACCGGACTGTCGCGAGCCGGCAAGACGGTGTTCATCACCGCCCTCGTCCACAATCTCATTCACGGCGGGCGGCTGCCCCTGTTCGATGTCGCCCATTCCAACCGTCTGGCGCGCGCCTTTCTGGAACCGCAACCCGATGACGGCGTGCCGCGCTTTGCCTATGAGGATCATGTGCGTTCGCTGGTCGATGAGCGCATCTGGCCCGACTCGACGCGCTCGATCAGCCAGCTGCGGCTGACGATCGACTATGAGAGCGCCTCGGCCTGGAACCGGCTTTTCGGACGCGGCCGGCTGCACGTCGACATCATCGACTATCCCGGCGAATGGCTGCTCGACCTGCCGCTTCTCGGCAAGGACTTCGCGGTCTTCTCTGAGGAAGCGGAAAGCGCCGCCCGCAGCCCGGCGCGTGAAGCCGTTGCCGCCGGCTGGCTGGCGGTCGCGGACACGGTCGATCCCGATGCGGAGGCCGACGAGGTGCTGGCGGGCCGGCTGGCCGAGACGTTCCGCGCCTATCTGGCCGAATGCCGCGCCGCCAATCTGGCGCTGTCGACCCTGCCGCCGGGGCGGTTCCTGATGCCCGGCGACATGGAAGGCTCGCCCGCACTCACCTTCGCGCCGCTTACCAAACGCGCTGACAGAGCCAGGCCCGGCAGCATGCAGGCGATGATGCAGCGCCGCTACGAGGCCTACAAGTCGCTCGTGGTCAAACCGTTCTTTCGCGCCCACATCACCCGGCTCGACCGGCAGATCGTGCTGGTCGACGCGCTGTCGGCGATCAATGCCGGCCATGCTGCGGTGGCCGACCTCGAACGCGCCCTGACGGAAATTCTCACCTGCTTCCGGCCAGGGACGAACAACCCCTTCTCCGCTCTCATCCAGCGCCGCATCGACCGCATCCTCATTGCCGCCACCAAGGCCGATCATCTGCATCATGAAAGTCACGCAAGGCTCGAGGCGATCATCGAGCGCATCGTTGCCAATGCGGCCAAAAAGGCGAGCCTTTCAGGTGCTTCGGTCAATACGGTCGCGCTCGCGGCGGTGCGCGCGACACGGGAGGCGACGGTGAACGAGAAGGGCGAGACCCTGCCCGTGGTCGTCGGCACACCTATCGCCGGCGAAACCATCGGCGCGGACACGTTTGACGGCAACCGCGAAACGGCGATTTTCCCCGGCGATCTGCCCGCCGATCCCGCCGCCCTGTTCGCGCCTGCCGACGCGACCGGTCAGCGCTTTGTGCGCATGCGCCCGCCGCGGCTGGAACGCACCGCTGAAGGCGTGACACTGTCGCTGCCCCACATCCGGCTCGACAAGGCGCTTCAGTTCCTTTTGGGAGACCGGTTGCAATGAGCCAGACTCCACGCGAACCGCGTGCTTTTGCCGTCGATGAGGACGACACCGCCAAAGCAAAAAAGGCGGGAAAGGCCAAAGCCAGCCCCAAAACGCGATCGGCCGCCCGAGAACCGCGCGCCATCGACGATGCGGCTCGCGTCGAGATGGCCGAAGAGGACTTCTTCGCCACCGAACATCTGCCCGAAGCGACCGCGCCACCGCCGCCGCCAAGGCGCCGGGCGCGGCGTTTCGGCCTTGCAGGAATAGGCCTTTCGGCGCTGGGCGTTATCGTGACCCTCGCGCTGGGATTGTGGCTCGAGCAACTGGTCCGCGACCTGTTCGAGCGGCATCCGGTACTCGGACAGGCCGGTCTGGTCGCGATCGGTCTTTTGGCGCTGGCGCTGGTTGCCTTCATCGCCCGCGAAATCTGGGCCATAGCCAGTCAGCGATCCATCGCCGGGCTGCGGGCCGAGACCGAAAAGGCCCTCGCCGACGGCAATGCGCGCGACATCGCCAAAGCGACCGGACGGCTTGAGGCGCATTTCGCCTCGCACCCGAAAACCGCAACGGGCCGGGCACACCTTGCCGACCTCAAGGGCGAGGTGATCGACGCCGCCGACCGCCACGCCATCGCAGAACGCGCGCTGCTGGCCGGGCTCGACGCGGAAGCGCGCACCATCGTGATGAACGCGGCCAAGCGTGTGTCCGTCGTGACCGCCGTCTCGCCCCGCGCCTTCGTCGATCTGGGCTATGTGCTGTTCGAGAATGTCCGCCTGATCCGCACCATCGCCGAGCATTATGGCGGCCGCGCCGGCACGTTCGGCACCATCGCGCTGGTCCGCCGCGTGGTCAGCCATCTTGCGGTGACCGGCACGATCGCGCTCGGTGACAGCCTGATCCAGCAGCTGGTCGGCCACGGCGTAGCCGCGCGCCTCTCCGCCCGGCTTGGCGAGGGCGTCGTCAACGGGCTGATGACCGCTCGCGTCGGCATTTCGGCGATCGGCGTATGCCGCCCGGCGCCGTTCGAGGCCCTGCCGGCGCCGCGGGTCGGCGAGATGGCGCGGACGCTGACCCGGTTCACCGCCGCCCAGCAGGGTGAAACCGATCGTGATGACAAAAACGGCGCATCGTGAGTAGGATCACAACCATGCCTTAACCATTGCGGGCCAATGATCGCGGCCAAACATCGCAAAAAGAGTGCGCCCCATGCTCAACCGCCTGGCCATGTCCGTCCTGATTTCCGGCACGATTGCCGGCGCCACCGTTCCGGCGCATGCCGACCAGGCGCGTGATGCGCGTTTCTTTCAGAAGATCGAGGGCCAGTGGCGCGGGCCCGGCGAGATCGTCGCCGGCAAGTATCGCGGCACCAAGTTCATCTGCCAGTTCGACGGCTCGGTCCCCGACAGCCGGCTTGGCATGTCGCTCGACGGCGATTGCCGCGTCGGTCTGTTCACCCAGAAGATGACCGCCACCGTGCAGCGCGACGGCCGCACCTATTCGGGGACGTTTCTCGACGGCGCCGGCGGCGAAGGCCTCGATGTCACCGCCGGCAATGTCAGCCGCGACCGTGTGGCGCTGACGCTCAACCGCAAGCAGCTCGACGGCGCCATGCTGGCGCGTCTGGCCGACGACAACACGCTCAATGTCACGGTATCCGTGCGCGTCGGCGGAGAACTGGTGCCGGTGATCGGCATGAGCCTCGACCGGCTCGATCCGGTCCAGGTCGGCTCGGTCCGCTAGAACCAAACAAGCGCAAATTGCGTCAGGCGGCACGCGGCAGCGACAGAAGATCGTCGGTGCGAATGATGCCGCTCGTGTCGAGTGCCGAAAGCGCATCCGACACGCGGCGCCCGCCGATCACCCGTTCCCCGGCAATATCGGCCAACGGCACCAGCACGAACGCACGCTCGAACATGCGCGGATGCGGCACGGTCAGCGTCGGGCTCTCGATCGCCTGATCTCCATAGGCCAGAATGTCGATATCGAGCGTGCGCGGCCCCCAGCGGCGCAGGCGCCTGCGCCCGGCGCCCCGTTCGGCGGCCAAAACCCGTTGCAGCAAGACATGCGGCGGGATCGATGTTTCAACTTCGGCACACGCGTTCAGGAAGCGCGGTTGCTCGGTAATCCCCCAGGGCGGTGTCGAGTAGATCGGCGATACCGAAACGACCGACATGCCCGGTTCGGCATGCAGCCGGCCCAGCGCGGACTGCATCGCACCGGCGACGTCGCCGATATTGCCGCCAAGGGCGATCAGCGCGCTCACGGTCTCAGGCATCATGGCAGACATGAACCTCGATATGGTCGAGCACGCCCGGCACCGGCGCATTGGGCTTGCGCAGCGTGATCTCGGCACGCCTGATCTGCGGCCAGCGCGCGCACAGCGCCTTGGCGATCTCATAGGCCAATGCCTCGATCAGATAACGCCGCTTGCCGGTGACGATCCGCTCGATCTCCTTGAACGCGTTACCGTAATCGACCGTGTCGGAGATATCGTCGTCTTCAAGCGCCCGACCCGGCTCGACGAACAGCCGCGCATCGACATAGAACCGCTGCCCCAGGAACTCCTCCTGGTCGAAAACGCCGTGGCGCGCAAAGAAGGCGCAGTTGATCATCCGGATTTCGTACACGTCAGGCTAGCTCCGTCCCGGCGCCAGCCCCCTGGCGTCCGGCGGCGATCATAGCATCGGCAACCGCCGCCGCGTCCACGTTCATTGCGACATCATGTACCCGCAAAACCGCCGCGCCGGCGGCACGCAACAATGCCGAGCTGGCGGCTGTGGCCACGTCGCGCGCCTCGACGGGCCGGCCGGTGAAATACCCGAGGAAACGCTTGCGGCTGGTCCCGGCCAGAAGCGGAAAGCCGAGCGCTTGCAACTCGCCGAACCGCGCCATCAGCACCGCATTGTGTTCGGCGTCCTTGGCGAAGCCGAAACCGGGATCGAGCACGATCTGGGCTTGCGCGACCCCGGCCTTGAGCGCGATCTCGATCGACCGGGACAGATAGACGCGCTGATCCTCGATCGGATCGGGCAGAACGTCTCGGTCGCGTCCGGTGTGCATGATCACCAGCCCGGCGCCGGTTTCCGCAGCCAGATTCGCCATCGCAGGATCGCGCTGCAAACCCCAGACATCATTGACGATTCCAGCGCCGGCTTCGAGCGCCGCGCGGGCGGTTTCCGACCGATAGGTGTCCGCTGAGACCGGCATGTCGGGAAGCGCGGACCGGACGTCCGCGATCACCGGAAGGAGGCGCCGGCGCTCGGCCTCGCCATCGATCGCCTCGGCACCCGGCCGCGTGCTTTCGGCACCGATATCGATGATCGCCGCGCCCGCTTCGGCCATCGCGCGCGCTGCCGCTACCGCCGCATCGGGGTCCGCATGATGCCCGCCATCGGAAAAACTGTCCGGTGTGACGTTCAAAATGCCCATCACGAGTCCGCGCGGCCCCAGTTCCAGCCTTGCGCCGGAGCCGATACGCCATGGACGTGGTTCAAACGGGTCGGTCAAAGGACATGACCCCGCGGGGCTGAGGAAACGGCGGTCAGGCCTGCTGTTCGGGAACGCGGACGATCAGCCCGTCGAAATCGTCCGTCATCTTGATCTGGCACGACAGGCGGGAATTCGGCTTAGTTTCGAACGCGAAATCCAGCATGTCCTCTTCCATGACATCGGGCTGGCCCACCTTCTCGGTCCAGGCCTCATCGACATAGACGTGGCAGGTCGCGCAGGCGCAGGCCCCGCCGCATTCCGCTTCGATGCCCGGAACCGCGTTCTTGATCGCGTTTTCCATCACCGTCGAACCGGCCTCCGCGTCCAGATCGAACTCGGTTCCATCAAAGGCGACGATCGTCAGTTTGGGCATCGTTCACTCCGGCAGGTCCGCGCATCACCAGCGGCGCGGATCGTCGAAGCGCGACTTAGCCGTTCGCCCCCGATTGTCAAGCAAACCCGCGCTCGGTACGCCTCAAGGCGCCGTCAGCGCAGAAGCGAGTTGATGTAATCGCATGTCCGGTCGATTTCGGTCAAAAGCGCACGGACGCACCGCCGTTCTCCGGGCGAGTCCTCGACGGCCTTGGCCGTATCGGCGATCGCGCCGGCTCCCACCGCGTGCGCAGCGCCCTTGAGCGTGTGCGCATGGCGCTTGCGCTGGTCGGCATCCGTGCCGACGCGCATCGCCTTGCCGATCGACTTGGCCTGCTTGAGAAACAGGTGGAGCACCTCTTCCTCGAGAGCCCGGTCGCCGCCGGTCTGCCGCGCCAGCCGGACCAGATCGACCGGCCGTTCACGCGCCATCGTCTGATAGGCCATGTCCGGCGTCTCGAACACCGGATGTCTTGATTGAGTATCCATAAGCATCACCCGCACGCACTGTCCCTTGGCAGAGGCTGTCACAAACTGATGGGCAAGCCGTTAATGGCGGGTGCGGGCCGAAATGGGGCGAAAACGGCGAAATCGGAACCGGCTCGCAGAGCCCTGTTCCGGCGGCGGATTTCCGCCGTTCTCACAGTGCGTTAACTTTATCTTTAAAGTTTTTGGGGGTGTCGCGATATCGTGTTCCATTCTGGCACCCGTGGCTCTACGATAAGGCTCAACCATCGCGACGCCACAATTGCGCCTGCAGTTCCGGCGCGTTTGCACGATGGCTGGCAAGCGTATGTCCGGGCCCGTGCCCGGAGTTGAGTAGCAGGTGAGGCTTTCATGGCTCAGAACAAGAATGCACCGGACCTGGATGCGGATATGGAACTGGCGCTTCAGGAAGCGCTGGAGAACGATCTGACATCGGGCGACACCGGTGATATGGCCGATGTCGATCTGGACAGCGAATTGTCGCTGGACGACTTCGAAGCGCAGGTCAGCAAGGCCGCCGGAGAACTCAGCGAAGCCAACCAGCCCGTCGAACCTGCCGTTGCAGTTGCCGCTGCCGCAGGCACAACCGCCGCCGCGGCGACCGCGTCGGCCCCCTATCGCGCCGCCAATGACGACAGCGCCGAGCGCGAATATGCCCAACTGCTCGAACGGATCAGCGCGCGGCCGGGCGGGCAATCGTTCGTCTGGGCGACCATCGTCAGCCTCATCTGGATCGGCGCCGGCGCCGCGCTGGCGCACATTCTCTATTCACCCGATGTCTGGCAGATCAGGACGATCGAACAATTGCGCGCCCTGCCCGGCGTGATCGCGATCATGATCGGCGTCGTCGTGCCGGTCATCTTGTTCTACGGGTTTGCGGTGCTCGTTCGCCGGGCCCAGGAGATGCGCAACACCGCCCGGTCGATGAGCGAGATCGCCTTCCGCCTGGCAGCGCCTGAAAACCTCGCCCAGGAGCGCGTCGCCATGGTCGGCCAGGCCGTCCGGCGCGAGGTCGCCGCGATGGGCGAAGGCATCGAGCGGACCATCGCGCGCGCCAGCGAACTCGAAGCGCTGATGCAGAACGAGGTCACCGAGCTCGAACGCGCCTACACCGACAATGAAGTGCGGGTCCGCTCGCTTCTGAGCGAACTGGGCAATCAGCGCGAGGGCGTCGTCACCCATGCCGAACGCCTGCGCGCGTCGATCTCCGGCGCCCATGAGCAGTTGCGCGAGGAACTGACGGCGGCCACCAACACGCTCGGAGACAAGATGCTGTCTGCTTCTGAGCATCTGACAACCAACATCAACAAGGCCGGCGACAGCCTGCTCGACCGCCTCAACGAGACCGGCTCGACCGTCAATGCCGGCCTTGCCAGCCAAATGGACGAGATCTCCGGGCGGTTTACCGCCTCGGGCGATGCGCTCGCCAGCCTGATCGAGACCCGCATTGCCAATCTCAACGCCGTCACCGAGACGGCCGGGCGCGAACTGGGCGCCACGATCGAGGGCCAGGCCGAGAATCTCAAGAGCCTGCTGGCAGAACGCGGCCAGAACCTCGTCGAGGAGTTCGAGACGCGCATTTCGGCCGTCGATGCGAGCACGGAGCGCCTCAACGTGGCGCTGGACGCGCGCGCGCGCCAGCTCAACGAGACGCTGCTCGACCGCACCCGCGCGATCGCCGACACGCTCACCGACGGCGCACAATCGATCACCGAAACCGCCGAAAGCGCGCGCAATTCGGTCGAGGAACAGACCGGCGCCGCCCAGCGGTCGCTGAGCGAGGCGATGGAGACGCGCACCGCGGCGATCGCCGAAACGCTCGACGGCGTCTCGGCGCGCATGACCGCCGCAGTCGACGAACGGACCGCCGATTTCCTCGCCAGGGCCGAAGCCCGCTCACAGGCGATGACCGATGCGGTGTTGCAGTCCGCCGAAACGCTGACTTCGACCATGGACAGCCAGTCGGCGCGTCTTGACGGCAAGGCCGGCGAACTCGCCGAACGGTTCGTCTCGGCGACCGATGAGGGCATTGCGCGCCTGACGGACAATGTCGAGCAGGCAACGCAGCGGCTCGACGAGAAGACGCAGGCCGCGTTTGCCGCCGCCCATCACGGCACCCAGCGCATCACCAGCGCGCTGGAAGAACAGACCGCGGCGATGGAACGCCGTGCCGCCGCGCTCGGCGAGCATGTCAGCGCCAGCGTGGAGCAGAACGCCGCACGCTTCATCGAAGCGGGAACGGCGGCCGCCGACGCCATATCGGCCTCCACCAAGAGCACGATGGATGGCATGGAGCAAGCGCACCAGCGGATCACCTCCGGCATCGCAGGGCTTGGCAATGACGCGACGGCGAAACTTGCCAGTGCCGGCGAGGAACTGATGGGCCGCCTGATGGGCACCAGCATGGACGCAGCCGCACAGATCACCCAGAGCGCCGACGGTTCGGTCACCGAGCTCGATGCCGCCAATCAGCGTCTGGTGGCGTCCATCGCCTCGCTGCGCGACAACGCGGTGTCGGGCCTGAGCAGTGCAACCGAAGAGACCGTCGCGCGTCTGCAGGGCGCCGGCGACGAGGTCGCAGCCAAGCTGGCCGCCAGCGGCGAGCGTGCCGTCTCCGGCCTGACGTCCGTCGGCGACGAGACGATCGGACGCCTGAACGCGACAGGCGAAGCCACGGTGGCGAAAGTCTCCGAAAGCACCGGCGCATTTCTTGAGCGGCTCGAGGAAAAGACAGCGGCCCTGTTCGGAGCGACCGAGCGGACCGCGCAGAGCCTTTCGGCCGTGCTCGATGCGCCAAGCGCCGACATCGAGGCCAAGACAGAAGCGCTCACCCGGCGGCTGTCTGCCATGGCCGACGAGATCGCCTCCTCCGTCGAGGCCCGGTCCAATGCGGCCGTGGTCGCGCTGCGCGAGGCGACAGACTCCATCAACGAGGCCTTCACCGACCAGTCGGGCATCGTCGACGAGCGTACGAGCACCATGCAGCGCGCCCTTTCGGTGGGCGTCGACAATGTCCGCCGCGTGCTCGAAGACAGCGCGGCGAACCTTGCCGGAACGCTGCGCGACCGCGTCGCAGAGACCCGGGCCGCGATCGACGCGGAAACCGAGCGGGTCGCGCAACTGGGCGCCGACCAGAGCGATGTGCTGACCGCGCGTCTTGGCGAGGTGCTGAAAACGCACCAGACGACGCTCAGCGAGGAGATTGCCGCCTATGACCGCCGCATCGGCGATCGCACCGGCGCGCTGGCGCGGACGCTGGAGACAACGGCCGTGCCGCTGATCGAGCGCCTCGGCCAGGATGGCGCGGAGATCGCCGCACAACTGGAGAGCGCGACACGCGCTGCCACGGAGCGCCTGCGGGCGGAGAACGATGCGCTGGTCAATGCGCTCGCCAACCGAACCGCCGAGACGATCACCGCCGTCGAATCCATGCAGAACAATCTGTCCGGTGCTGTCGGCGGCCTGCTCGACCGGACGCGAGAGACCGTCGAGACCATGCAGAACAGCCTTGGCGGCGATGTTGGCAGCCTTCTGGACCGCCTGTCGGCCTCCAACGCCAAGCTGGGCGAACTGATCGAGATGGCGACCGGCAATCTGGGCGCCATCGAGGGCAAGCTGGCCGAAACCACCGAGGGCTTTGCCAGCCGTACCGGCGCGATCGCGCAGAACCTCAACACGTCCGTTTCGCTGCTGGGCAACAATGCCGAGAAACTCGACAATGTCTCGCAGAAGACGCTCAACGACATCGCATCGATCGCTGCCCGATTCGACGATCACGGCAAGGTGCTGGCCTCGGCATCGGACCTGTTCGAGAAGGCCCAGTCGAACCTCGAAGTAACGCTCGGCGATCGCCGCGACGCTCTGGAGGCACTGGCTTCGGGACTGGTGGCCAAGTCCGAGGAAATCCAGCGGACCATGCGCTCGTTCGAGACGATGATCGGCGACACGCTGAGCCAGGTGGAAAGCCGTGCGCTCAGTTCGACCGACAAGCTGGCCACCAGCATCCGGCAGACCGCCGACGAAGCCATGGGCCGGTTCGACGAAGCAACGGCGCAAATGCGGCATGTATCGTCGGAGATTCGGTCGGAGCTCGAAAGCGCGCGGGACGAGGTGCGCCGCGGCGTGCTCGAACTGCCAGAGGAAACGCGCGAAAGCGCCAATGCGATGCGGCGCGCGGTCAGCGAGCAGATCAACGCGCTCAAGGACCTCTCACGCATCGTCGAGGAATCGGGACGCGCATTCGACGTGGGAGGCGCAGCCCGCTCAAAAAAGCCGCAGGCCCGGTCGGATAGCGCGGACGACCGCGCCCCGGCCGGGCATGCCGCTCCCCTGGCTGCCGCCCAGCCGGAGCTTCGCGGCGGGTTCGACGACACACCGCCCGCCGCTCCGCCGCGTGCGCCCGAGCCCGACCGTCGGGCACCGGCATCGTCCGATGGCGGCGGCTGGGTGAGCGACCTGTTGAAACGCGCATCGAGCGAGGAGCAGCCCGCCCCGGCGCGGCAGCCGGCCCAGACGGTCGAGTCGCTCAATTCGCTGTCGGTCGACATCGCCCGGGCGATCGATCACGAGGCAGCCGCCCAATTGTGGGATCGCTACCGGCGCGGCGAACGCGACATCTTCACGCGCCGTCTCTACACGCTTGCCGGGCAACGCACCTTCGAGGACATCAAGGCGCGCTATGGTCGTGATCCGGCGTTCCGCTCGTCCGTCGACCGCTACGTGCGGGACTTCGAACGCCTGCTCAGCGACGTGTCGCGCAACGACCGCGACGGTGTGATGTCGCAAACCTACCTGACGTCCGACACGGGCAAGGTTTACACCATGCTGGCCCATGCGAGCGGTCGCCTGCGCTGATCGTTCAAAGCCGCTTCAGACAAAAAAAGCCCCGCTCGGACCGAGCGGGGCTTTCTTTGTTCAGCCGACGGCGGCGATCAGATCAGATCGGCCGACCAGGCAACGATCTCGGTGGCGACGCCGGCGAAGGCCGCATTGAGCGCGGCGACATAATCGTCCGGGCTGCCGGTGCGCGAGACCGGAACCGACGCGGCGAAACGCCGATCGGCGGCAACCACGCCACTGCGGTCGTCCAGCAGCTTGACCTCGATCTCGATCCGGGCGGCAGCGGCGGGAATGTCGATGCCGAACTCGGCGATGTTGGTCACGATCTGGTAGTCGATCGCCAGCCCCTGCCCCGGCAGGCCCACACCGTCGAAACGATCGGCGCGGTCGAAGCTCTCGGCCAGCCGGCGCTGAACCAGACGCGGCAGACGGTCGCCCCATTGCGCATCGCCCAGATACTGGATGGCGAACGGCGCGGTCTCGACGACGATGTTCTGGGAATCGAGCGCCTGAACGGCTCCGGGCTCGGCGATCAGGATCTGCGTGCCGCGCCGCACCGGTCCCGCCGACACGTCGCGCGGCGCCACAAGGTCGAACGTGTCGGGCGGCTCACCCGTGCCGCCGAGCGCGGCACAGCCCTGGACGAGGCCGGCCGATACCAGCAGAACGGCGATCGATCGTGGCAGGCGCAACGGCCGTCGGCCCGGCTCACTCATGGACACTGCTGCACCCCGTCATCGCCCCATGACACATTACTTGCACGTCCCGCTCGGCTGCCTGCTGCGCGAAACCGGACCCTCCGCGGATCGTCCCTCTCCGCTTATCAGCGGCGCTCGCGCCCGTCAAAGCGCTTGACCCCGCCATCGCCTCCGAAGATCAGTTGCTGGGGGTCGCGTTCGATGCTGGTGATCGTCTGTTCGATGCGCGAAATCGACCGCCGCGTTTCGTTGACCAGCGCCTCGATATCGCGCAGGCCGCGATCGGAAAACCGCTCGAGACCGCCGCCAATGCTGTCCAGCCGTGCATTGAGGTTGCTCGCGACGTCGCGGAAGGAACGCAAGGTCTCGCTGGCCTCGGCAATCAGGTTCTGGCCGCCTTCGCCGCCTTCGCCCAGAAACCCGTCGAGCTTCTCCAGAACGCCGTCGACGCGGACCGAGGCCGCGTTCAGCCGTTCGGACATCTCGGTGACATTGGCGAAGATGGTGTCGATATCCTCACCGCGCCCTTCGAGTTCGGCAGTCACGCCCTGGATATCGGCGGTGATGTCGCGCGCCGCCCGGCCCGCATCGGCAAAGCCGGCCACCGCCTCGCCCACCGCATCGGGATCGACCGCGCCAATCAGCGTGTCGAGCTGATCGAACGACTGGTCGACCCGGTCGCCGATGCTCTCGAGCCCCTCCAGTGTCGTGCGCGCGGAGGCCACAAGACCGTCCAGATCGTCCGACGCTTCATTGAGGTCGGCCGCAAAGCCGCGCACTTCGGTGACGATCGCGGCCACATCGTCCGGATCGACCGCGGCGATCAGTTCGTCCGCGCCCGACAGGGTGCGTTCCAGCGTGACCGACATGGTGCCCAGCGATTCGCCCAGATCGCCCATACCGGTCAGGAACTCGTCGATACGGCCCGAATTGGCCGCCAGCGCATCGCTGATCTCGGTGACATTCTCGACGGCCCGCGTCAGCGGCCCGCGCGCGTCGGCGACAAAGCTTTCGACGTCGGTGAGGATGTTGTTGGCCCGGTTGGCGATGTCCTGCGCGGTGGCAAGCAGATCGTTGAGCGCGGTGGGATCCGCGTCTATCGTCGCGACCGTCCCCTCCCGTTCGGCCAGTTCGAACACGTTGGGCTGATCGACCGCACCGCCCTCCAGCTCGATATGGGCGATGCCGGTCAGGCCGGTGAACGACAAGACCGCCTTGGTTTCCGCGGTGATCGGCAGGTCGCGCCGCACTTGCGTTTCGGCGATCACGACGCCCGGATCGGTGGCGTCAAAGCCCAGCCGGTCCACCTTGCCCACATCGATGCCGTTGAACTTGACGACGCTCGAATTGGCCAAGCCCGTCACGGAACCGGCGATCACGATGTTCAGCTGCGCCGTCTCGCCACCGGTGTCGTTGCGCGCGAACCAGTAGACAAAGGCGAAGGCGGCGGCGAACACCAGAACGGTGAACGCCCCGACGGCGACATAGTTGGCCTTGGTTTCCATCGTGCTCGGACGCCTACTCTACCTTGGCGGGAATGTGACGCGCCCGCTTGCCACGGAAATAGGATTTTATCCACGCATTGTCATGCGCGAGCATTGTCGACAACGGCCCGGCGGCGATCACCTTGCCCTCGCCCAGCACCGCGATCCGGTCCGCTACGGTGAAAAGGCTGTCCAGATCGTGGGTCACCATGTAGACCGTCAGACCCATGGTGTCGCGCAGTTTGGCGATCAGTTCGTCGAATTCGGCGGCACCGATCGGATCGAGCCCGGATGTCGGCTCGTCCAGAAAGACGATATCCGGGTCGAGCGACAGCGCGCGCGCCAGCGCTGCCCGCTTGATCATGCCGCCCGACAGTTCGGACGGATACTTGTCGCCGTCGGCGGGCTTCAGCCCGACCATTTCCAGTTTGACGATGGCCAGCTCGCGCATCAGTTTCGGCGGAAGCTGGACATATTCGCGCATCGGCACTTCGATGTTTTCGGCCACGGTCAGCGCCGAAAACAGCGCGCCATGCTGGAACAGAACGCCCATCCGCATGTCGATCAGGATGCGCTCGTCATCGTCGACCGCCGACAGATCGTGCCCGAAGATTGTGATACGTCCGGCCTGTCTCGGCGTCAGTCCCAGGATCGCGCGCATCAGCACCGACTTGCCCGTGCCGGACGCTCCGACGAAGCCGAGGATTTCGCGGCGCCGCACATCCAGATCCAGCCCGTCCAGAACGACATTGCTGCCGAAGCGGACATGCATGTCGCGCACGCTCAAAACGATGTCGGCATCGGCGCTCATCAGAAGTCCACCGCCGCAAAGAAAATGGCAAACAGCCCGTCGACGACGATGACCACGAAGATCGCCTTGACGACGGAGGCCGTGACGCGGGCACCCAGCGATTCCGCGCTGCCTCCCACCTTCATCCCCTCGACCGAGGCGATGATCCCGATGATGATCGCCATGAACGGCGCCTTGATGATGCCTGCAAGGAACGTCGACATGTCGATCGCATCGCGCATGCGCATTATGAACGCTTCGGGATTGATGCCCGAATAGGCCTGGGCGACGAACATCGCGCCTGCCAGCGCAGAGAAGTTGGCGATCAGGGTCAGAAGCGGCAGGCCGATCACCAGCGCGACCAGGCGCGGAAAGACAAGAACGCCGATCGGATTGAGACCGATCACGGTCAAAGCGTCCACCTCTTCGCGCATCTTCATCGATCCGATCTCGGCGGTGATCGCGCTGCCCGACCGGCCGGCGATCATGATGGCGGTCAAAAGAACGCCGATCTCGCGCAGGACGAGGATCGCCACCAGGTCGACGACGAAGATCTCGGCGCCGAAATAGCGCAACTGGAAGGCGCCCTGCTGGGCAATGATCGCGCCGATGATGGTCGACATCAGGACGATGATCGGAATGGCGCGCACGCCCATCCGGTCGATCTGGTTGACCACCGGCGCCCATGCCATCGGATTGCGGTGGCCCGATTTCATCTGGCTGCCGCGCACCGCCGCGCCGAGCATGTGCAGCCCCATCGTGGCATCGCGGCGCAGATCCCACACATAGTGCCCGATTGTCGCCAGGATGGTGGCAAGCCCCACGCGCTCTGAAGGCGGGGGAGGTTCGGGGCGCGCGGTGCTCTCGGCGACCTCGTCGACCAGCGTCTGCGCGCCTTGCTTCAAGCCGGCCAGGCGAACCGGCTGGTTGCGCGCCTGCGCAATGCGCATGGTGCGCACGATCAGCCATGCGCCGGCCGTGTCCAGATGGCTGACCGCGCTGGCATCGATCTTCAGCGTGCCCGCATCGCCGGTCGCCTTGACCGCCTTGGACAGATCGGCATCGACGCTCCCGACCGTGGCGGTCAGCCAGACACCGGCAAGCCGCAGCACCGGATCGCCGCCCGCCCGGTCGGCTTCGACCGTCGGCAGCGCCTCCGACGAGGCGCGCGGCTGCGCAAATTCATCGTCCTGGACCAGCGTCATGTCACAGTTCTAGCGCCTGCAAGCCCGTCCGTCAGCCTCAAAGCCGCTGCGGCCGCGCGATACATGCCCATCGTGGCCGTTGCACAACGCCCCCCGGCAGGCGTATTCCCTTTGCTCTGGCAGCGCCATTGCAAGGATCCTGGATATCATGGCCTCATCGCTCTCGCTGACCGCAAGCGCCGAAAGCTTTCCCATCGATGGCCGCTTCCGGATCGCCCGCGGCGAACGCTCCCATGCCCATGTCATCGCCTGCACGCTGGACGACGGCACCCATTCGGGCCACGGCGAATGCGTGCCTTATGCCCATTACGGCGAAACGGTAGACGGCGTGATCGCCCAGTTGGAGTCGTTGCCCGCGCTCGATGCCTCGGCCCCTTGCGACAGGCTCCGTATCGATCTGGCATCGGCCTTGCCGCCTGGCGCGGCGCGCAACGCGGTCGACTGCGCGCTGTGGGATCTCGATGCCAAACGATCGGGTCGCCGCGTGCACGCGCTGGTGTGCCGGCACCCGCCGCGCCCGGTCGAAACCGCGCTCACCCTGTCGCTCGACACCCCCGAAAACATGGCCGATGCCGCGCGCGCGGCGAACAAGCGGCATCTTTTGAAGATGAAGCTGGGCGGAGACGAAGCCGACATTGCCCGCATGCACGCCGTGACGGCCAACGCCCGCGATGCGCGGATCATCGTCGATGCCAACGAATCCTGGCGCGAAGACAATCTCATCGCGATGATGGAGGAAGCCGCGCGTCTGCACATCGCGCTGGTCGAACAGCCGCTGCCGGTCGGCGAAGACGCCATTCTGGGACGCATTCCGCATCCCGTGCCGGTCTGCGCCGACGAAAGCGCCCATACGAGTGCCGATCTCGACGCGCTTGGCGCGCTCTATGACGTCGTCAACATCAAGCTCGACAAGACCGGCGGGCTGACCGAGGCGCTGGCGATGCGCGACAAGGCCCGCCGGATGGGGTTCGGCGTCATGGTCGGCTGCATGGTCGGAACCTCGCTCGCCATGGCGCCCGCCGTCCTGCTGGCCCAGGACGCCGACTTCATCGATCTGGACGGTCCGCTGCTGCTTGCGCGCGACCGCAAGCCGGCGCTTCACTATTACGGCAGCACTGTTTCTCCCCCCGAACCGGCGCTTTGGGGCTGAGCCGGCATTGACGCCGCCGGGCGATCGTTTAGGTCACCCGGACAAACACGCAGCCGCCAAACCGGGAGAATGGGCATGGATCTGGGATTGAAGGGCAAAAGCGCGATCGTCTGCGCATCGAGCCGCGGTCTGGGGCGCGGATGCGCCGAGGCGCTGGCCCGCGAAGGGGTCAATCTGGTGATCAATGGCCGCAACGAGCAAGCCACCGAAAAGACCGCCGAGGACCTGCGCGCCCATGGCGTCACCGTCGACATCGTCCTGGGCAGCGTGTCCGATCACGCCACGCAGGATGCCCTGTTGGAGGCCTGTCCGCAGCCCGACATCCTCGTCAACAACAATGGCGGCCCCGCCCTGCGCGATTTCCGCGAACTGGATCGCGATGCGCTGCTCGACGGCGTCACGCAGAACATGGTCACGCCCATCGAATTGATCCAGCGGACGATCGACGGAATGGCCGAGCGCGGTTTCGGGCGGATCGTCAACATCACATCGCTGTCGGTCTACCAGCCGATTTTGGGGCTCGACCTGTCGTCGGGCGCCCGGGCCGGCCTGACGGCGTTCCTCGCCGGCATCGCCCGGTCGGTCGCCGGCAGCAATGTGACGATCAACAACATCCTCCCCGGCAAGATCGACACGGACCGGATCCGTCAGACCATGGTCTACGCCGCCGACAAGCGCGGCGTCGAGTTCGACGAGGAAAAGGCCCGCCAGATCGGCGCCATCCCTGCAGGCCGATTGGGCACCCCGGAAGAGTTCGGCGCCACATGCGCGTTCCTTTGCTCCACCCATGCCGGCTACATCACCGGCCAGAACATCCGGCTCGACGGCGGGGTCTATCAAAGCGCGTTTTAAACGCTTTTCGGCCGGAACGAATTGTCGCAACCGCCGCATTGGTCTACCGGTTGTCGAAAACAAGAACCGGGAGGGGGCGGCCATGAGTGGCGAGACGGATGCAGCAAAAAAGTCGGTGCCTTCGGACCTCGACGAGAACGCGCTTTTCTTTCACCAGAACCCGGTTCCCGGCAAGCTCGAAATCCGGGCCACGAAACCGCTGGGCAACCAGCGCGATCTGGCGCTCGCCTATTCGCCGGGTGTCGCCGCGCCCTGCCTTGCGATCGCCGCAGACCCGGCGCGGGCTGCGGACTATACCGCGCGCGCCAATCTGGTCGCCGTCGTCTCCAACGGCTCGGCCGTCCTCGGCCTCGGCAATATCGGCCCGCTCGCATCCAAGCCGGTAATGGAGGGCAAGGCCGTGCTCTTCAAGAAGTTCGCCGGCATCGACGTGTTCGACATCGAAATCGACGCGCCGGGCGTCGAGCGCATGGTCGATGTGGTTTCCGCGCTCGAACCGACCTTTGGCGGGATCAATCTCGAAGACATCAAGTCGCCAGAGTGCTTCGAAGTCGAGGAACGGTTGCGCGACATGATGGGCATTCCGGTCTTCCATGACGATCAGCACGGCACCGCGATCATCGTCGCCGCCGGCATCCTCAACGGGCTGGAGCTTGCCGGCAAATCGATCGAGACGGCGAAGATCGTCACTTCGGGCGCCGGGGCGGCAGCGCTCGCCTGCCTCAATCTTCTCGTGTCGCTCGGTGCAAGCCTCGACAACATCATCGTCACCGACATTGACGGCGTGGTCTATGACGGCCGCCCCGGCGAGATCGATCGCTGGAAGGCGGTCTTTGCCCGCCAGACCGAGCACCGCACGCTGGAGCAGGCCATCGACGGCGCCGACGTTTTTCTGGGTCTCAGCGCCGCCGGCGTGCTCAAGCCCGAATATCTGGCAAAAATGGCGGAAAATCCGCTGATCATGGCGCTGGCAAATCCGGTTCCCGAGATCATGCCGGACGCCGCGCGGGAGGCGCGTCCCGATGCGATGATCTGCACGGGCCGGTCCGATTTCCCCAACCAGGTCAACAACGTACTGTGTTTTCCTTACATCTTTCGCGGTGCCCTCGACTGTGGCGCGCGGACCATCAACGAGGCGATGAAGGCGGCCGCCGTGACCGCCATCGCACAACTCGCCCGTGAAGAGCCCTCAGACATCGCCGCCCGCGCCTATTCGGGCGAAACGCCGATCTTCGGGCCCGACTACCTGATCCCCTCGCCCTTCGACCAGCGGCTGATCCTCCGGATCGCGCCGGCCGTCGCCAAGGCGGCGATGGAAAGCGGCGTCGCCGCGCGTCCCATCGAGGACATGGACGCCTATCGCGACCGGCTGAACCGGTTCGTCTTCCGGTCGGGCCTCGTCATGAAGCCGGTGATCTCGTCGGCCCAGGCCGCGGCCACGCACAAGGTCATCTACGCCGACGGCGAGGACGAACGCGTGTTGCGCGCCGCCCAGATCGTCCTGGAGGACCGCATCGCCGAGCCGATCCTCGTCGGCCGTCCCGAGGTGGTCGAGGCGCGACTGAAGCGCTACGGCCTGCGGATACGGCCCGACCGGGACTTCGAACTGGTCAATCCGGAAAACGATCCGCGCTATCGGGACTATGTCGATCATCTGATCGCCATCGGCGGCCGGCAGGGCTTCACCCCCGATTATGCCCGAACGCTTGTGCGCACCAATGCCACCGTCATCTCGGCGATCGCCCTGATGCGCGGCGAGGCCGATGCGATGATCTGCGGTCTCGACGGCCGCTATGAGCGGCATTTGCGCACCGTGCGGTCCATCGTCGGGGTCCGCGAGGGCGCGCGCGATCTGTCGGCGCTGTCGATGCTGATCTCCGGCAACGGCATGACGTTCTTCACAGACACCTATGTCTCAATCGATCCTACCGCCGAGGAACTGGCCGAGATGACGCTGCTCGCCGCCGAGGAGATCCGGCGTTTCGGCGTCGAACCCAAGGCCGCGCTGCTGTCGCATTCCAATTTCGGCTCGCGCGACAGCGCCTCGGCCGCCAAGATGCGCCGTGCTGTCGAAATCCTGCATGCCGCCCAGCCGGAACTGTGCGTCGATGGCGAGATGCATGCCGACAGCGCGCTCAATCCCGAGCTGCGCGCCCGCGTCCTGCCGCACTCGATCCTCGAGGGCGAGGCCAACCTTCTGGTCTTCCCGAACCTCGATGCGGCCAACATCACGCTCAATGCCGTCAAGTCGATGACCGATGCGCTGCATGTCGGCCCGATCCTTCTGGGGACGCAGCGACCCGCCCATGTGCTGACGACATCGGTAACCTCGCGCGGCGTCGTCAACATGACCGCGATCGCGGCCGTCGAAGCCGCCCAGGCCGCGGCCCAGGGCGGCACACACGCCGGCACGGCCGTTACCGGTCGTTAACGTTCATCGTAAATTCAGCTTGAACGAGACATGCTGACCCCGCCCGCTTAAACAAGTGGCACGGTGTTTCTGTCACAGTGGTGGCGGGATGGGGTTCGGCGTTGATGGTGTACCGGCTTTTCAAAGCCTGTGTGGCGTGTCTGTGCGGAATGGCAATTGCCATGACGCTCGTAACGCTGACCGCCATGTCGGCTACCCCGGCCGGTGCGCAATCCTGCAACAGTCTGCAATCGCAACTCGCCAGCGCAAGGCGCGGCAGCGGCAACCGCGCCGAATACCGGCGCTACGCCGAGGCGGCCGAGCGCCAACAGCGCGAGTTGCGCAAGGCGCAGCGCATGTACAACCGCCAACGCTGTCGGCAGTCGGGTTCCCGGCAATGCCGGTCGCTGGGCTCGACCATCAACCAGATGCAGGCGAACCTGGGCAAGCTGCAGCGCGTGCGTGACCGCAATCGCGGCGGTGCATCGCAGCGGGAAATCCGGCGCCTCGAGCGCGCGGTCCAGCGCGCCTGCAGCCGCAGCCAGTCGACACGCATCGCTTCGGTCCGCCGGGAGCCCGGCACGGTGAGGCGGGCGCAACCCAACCGCAACCATGCATCACGGCCGGTTGCCCCTGCCCGGCCTTCCTTCGCCGGAGAACACCGGACGCTGTGCGTGCGCACATGCGACGGCTACTTCTTCCCGATCTCGTTTGCCACGAACGCCGACCAATTCGAGCGGGACAAGGCGATATGCGCAGCCCTTTGCCCGGCAGCGCCCACCATGCTGTTCACGCACCGCAGCGGCGATGATGACGGCCCGCGGAACATGACGGCATTGGACGGCACCGCCTATACCGATCTTGCCACGGCGTTCGACTTCCGCGAGCGCCGGCGAAGCGAGAACTGCACCTGCGGACGGGCCAACACCAGCCTGATCGGCATTGAGGGCATCACGCCGCGCCCCAGCGAAGTGGCGCCCGAGCAGGTCGACGAAGAGCCCGGTCGCTTGCCGCCGCCGCGCTTTCGCCCGGATCTGGCCGCCGATCCCGAAACCCGCGCCAACACGGCCCAGGGGCTTACGGTCGGGCGAATGACGGATATCGCCCGCTCCGTCAGCGTCGGAGAGATCCATGATGTCGCCGACAGCCGCGACGAAATCAGGGTCGTCGGCGGAGAATTTCTTCCCGACCCAGAAGAGGCAATAGATCTGACAAATCCGGTCCCCACGCCCTTCCCGTAAGCGCGATCCGCAGCGGCATGAACAGCGCCCTGCCCTTGCGGCCCGATTGCGCCTTCGCCGCTTCGGTCCAGCGCTTCCACAGTGTGGCGTCCACCGCGCCTTCGGGCAGGCAATCGAACGCTGCGCGCGCATAGGCCAGATCATCGCCATCGAGCGCCGCGTCCTTGGCTGGACGATCGGTGATCACCGGCCACCAGTCGGCCGCGTCGGCCACCTTCTTCACATTGGAGCGGATCATGACCCAGAACGCTTCGGCGCGCGGATCGTCCACATCGACGCCGGCATCGCCCAGCCGCGTGCGCACCACATCGAACGGCAGATCGTGCACCAGCGTCTGGTTCAGTCCGTCCAGATCGGCGGGGTCGAATCTTGCCGCCGATTTGGTCGTCGCCGTGATGTCGAAGGCACCGGTCAGCGCCTCCATGTCCGCCATCGCGGATATCGCGGTCGACGACCCGGTCAGGACCGCCAGGCTGGCCACCGCCATCGGCTCGTAGCCTGCCTCGGCCAGGCTCTTGATCGACAGCGCGCCCGAGCGCTTGGACAGGCCCTCGCCGCTGGCCGTGGTCAAAAGGTTGTGGTGCCCGAATGCCGGCGGCTCGGCGCCGAGCGCCCGGAAGATCGCCATCTGCACGCCGGTGTTGGTGACGTGATCGTCGCCGCGAATGACGTGGGTGACGCCCATTTCGATGTCGTCGACCACCGAAGGCAGCGTGTAGAGATAGGTGCCGTCGCCCCGGATCAGAACCGGATCGGACATGGAAGCCAGATCGACGCTCTGCTCGCCACGCACCGCATCGCTCCAGCGCACATCGGTGCGCTTTGGCGCAAAGGGATCGTCCGCGAAGTTGGGCAGCAGGAAGCGCCAGTGCGGCGCGTGGCCCCTTGCTTCAAGGTCCGCCTTTTCGGCGTCGGTCAGCCTCAGCGCCTCGCGGCCATAGACCGGCGGCAGCTTGCGAGTCAGGCGGATCTTGCGCCGCCGTTCCAATTCGTCCGGCGTTTCATAGCACGGATAGAGCAGCCCCGCGTCCTTGAGCGCCTGCGCCGCCTTTTCATAGGCATCCATGCGCTGCGACTGGTAGGCGATGCGGTCCGGATCGATGCCGAGCCAGCGCAGGTCACGCTCGATCTGCTCGGCATATTCGGCCTTCGAGCGGGCGGTATCGGTATCGTCGAAACGCAGGATGAAGGCGCCGTCGTTCTGCCGGGCAAAGAGCCAGTTGAACAGCGCGGTGCGCACATTGCCGATATGGATATGGCCCGTCGGCGACGGCGCGAAACGAACGGTGACAGTCATGACGCCCGCTTACGGAAGTCACCCGGCATTGGCAAGAAGATGCGCTTCGCGGCGCTTCAGAAGGCGCCGCGACGCCATGGTCATGATCACGGCGACCACGGCGCAGTAGAGCCCCATCACGACGATCTGCGCCGGATAGGCAACGCCGATATCGATCAGCGCGCCGGTCAGGCCCGGCCCGACGGCGGTGCCGAACACCATCATCGCCACGATCACCGCGCGGATCGCGCCCAGTTCGCGCGTGCCATAGATTTCCGGCCACAGCGCACCGAACAGCGTCGAGGAAAAACCATAGGACACGCCGAGCAGCGCCATGAACAGGAACGCGCTCCATTGCGCCTCGAGCAATCCGAGCGCCAGACATGCAAGCGACAGGGGCACGAGAAAGATCGGCAGCAGCGCGGTCGCCGAAAACCGGTCGATCAGCGCGCCGGCGATCAGCACGAAGCAGATCGTCGTCACGCTCATCACGGCGAAGGAGGATGCAAAGACCGGCAGAGACCAGCCGCGCAACTCCACCAGGTAGACCTGATGAAAGAAGATGGTCGTGCCGATGAAGGCCGGCGCAAGAACGCCCGTCAGCAGAACCCAGAAGAGCGGATCGCGCATCACCTCCGCGCGGGACCAGTCGCGCGGCGCGACCGCCCTTGTGTCCGGCGGATCGGACAGCGGTTCGCGCTCCCGGGCGGTCAGAATGGAGATGAGCGGCAGCGCCACAAGGATCAGGATCGCCGCTCCGGCAAGCCAGGCATTGCGCCAGCCAAGCGCGGCGGCCAGGGCGACGAACGCGAACGGGAACAGCGCCTCGCCCGCATTGTGGCCGAGCGTGACAAGCGAGACCGCGCGTCCGCGATTGGCCGCGAACCAGCGCCCGGTGGCGGTCAGCGCGTTTTGCGTCATCATGCCCTGCCCGAACAGGCGCAGCACATAGATGACGACGACCAGCGTGGCGATATGTACGGAAAACGCCATGCCCACAGCGCCAAGCGCCAGCAACGGCACGATGATCATCGTCACGCGCGCGGCGCCGTAGCGGTCGACGATCCGCCCGAGCCAGGGCAGGGTCAGGGCGCTGGCGAGCGTCGCAAGCATGTAGAGCCCGCCGAACTGGCCGTGGCTGAGGCCATATTCGGCGCGGATGTCGCCCGCTGAAAGCGAGATGAAGAAGGTCTGGCCGAAGGCCGAAAAGAACGTCAGCAGAAATCCGCCGGCGATCCACCGGGCGTTGTTGGCCACGAAGCGGACAAATGGCATGAAGAGGGCCTAGACAATGACTTCGGTCGCCCTAGCGCCTGGCCCGTCAAGAGGCAACTGGCAATGCGCGCGGCGGCCCCATCGCGGAGCAGAACCATGAATCTCGAACATCGGCACGAGCCGGACGCCATCGCCGCCCGGCTGGCCGAAGGGACAAAGCCCAACTATCTGCGCGACTGGGTCTATGGCGGCATTGACGGCGCGGTGACCACTTTTGCCATCGTCGCCGGCGTGGTCGGCGCGGCGCTTTCGGCCAACATCGTCATCATTTTGGGGCTCGCCAATCTGATCGCCGATGGCATTTCGATGGCCGCCGGCAACTATTCGGCCACGAAGACCGAGCATGACGAACTTGAACGCGCCCGGGCGATGGAAAAGCGCCACATCGCGATCGATCCTGACGGCGAACGCGAGGAAATCCGGCAAATCTTCATGGCCAAGGGGTTTGAAGGCGAGACGCTCGAGCGCGCCGTCGACGCCATCACTGCCGATCGGGAGCGCTGGATTTCAACCATGATCACGGAAGAGTTGGGTTTGAGCGAGAACATCCGCAGCCCGACGGCCGCGGCGACCGCCACGTTCGCCGCTTTCATCGCCTGCGGCGCTGTGCCGCTTGTACCCTACTTTGTCTTCGAGCCATCGACGGCAAACCCGGTGGCGCTGGCCATGACAGCCACCGTCTTTTTCATCATCGGCTCGATGAAGAGCCGCTGGTCGCTGCAGCGCTGGTGGGTCTCGGGCCTCGAAACACTGACCATCGGATGTGGCGCGGCAGCCATCGCCTTCGGCATCGGATATGCGCTAAGAGGGTTCGGGGCAGGCTGAACTATTTGGGAGTATCCACATGGTCCGCGGATCTATCGCAACGCTGGCGTTCGCCGTTCTCGCCGGCATGGCCGTATCCAAGGCGCATGCCTCGCCGGGCTTCGATTTCGTGTGTTTCGACCGCGACATCGTCGCCTCGGTCGGGCTCGATCTGGAATGGGCGAACGCCTATCTGAAAATCGACGGCGAGGAGACCGTGCTGCCCGCGACCGGTCAGCGCAGCGGCAACAGCTTCGCGTTCGCCGGCAACGGCCTGTCGTTTCAAGGCTTCGTGCCAGAGGGCCAATTGACCCTGGCGGACGGGCGAACGGCGCGCTGTCACCAGACCCGCGACTCGATCAAGACGATGGCGCTTTACGGTTCCGACAACAACTTTCGGTGGTCCGTCCATGACGCGCGCGGCACGGCAAGCGGCAATGTCCGCGCCGCGCCCTCGGTCTTTGCGGAAAAGGTCGCAAGCCTGGGCGACGGCGAGCCGGTCATCATCAAACGGAACACCGACGAATTCCTGGACGGTTTCTTCTGGTTCCAGATCGAATTCGGCGAAGGCGAAACCGGCTACATCTGGGGCGCGCTCCTGTGCACGGACGCAGACGAGCCCGAACTGAACACCACCGTCCGGCGCTGCTCCTGATACCGCTGACAGCGATCGGCACCGAGACCTGCACACCACGCTGATTACAGCCTGATTTCAGAGGCTTATGTCCGGTCCCTGAATCGGTTCGTGATCGGATAGCGGCGGTCGCGGCCGAAATTCTTGCGCGTGATCTTCACGCCCGGCGCGGACTGACGGCGCTTGTATTCGGCCACATAGAGCAGATGCTCGATCCGGTGCACGAGATCGCGGTCATGGCCGCGTTCGACGATCGCATCGACAGCCATCTCGTGCTCGACCAGACATTCGAGGATGTCGTCGAGCACCGGATAGGGCGGCAGCGAATCCTGGTCGGTCTGGTCGGGTCTGAGTTCGGCCGATGGCGCCTTCTCGATGATGTTGACGGGGATCACCTCCCCCGTCGGCCCCAGGCCGCCGGGCGGCATGTGCGCGTTGCGCCAGCGCGCCATGGCGTAGACCTGCATCTTGTAGACATCCTTGATCGGGTTGAACCCGCCATTCATGTCGCCGTAAAGCGTCGCGTATCCGACGCTCATCTCGCTCTTGTTGCCGGTGGTGACGACCATCGAGCCGAACTTGTTGGAGATCGCCATCAGGATCGTGCCGCGCGCCCGGCTCTGCAGGTTTTCTTCGGTTACGCCCTCATCGGTACCGGCGAACATGTCCGACAGCGCGTCGTTGAACCCTTCGACCGGCGCGTGGATCGGCACCACATCGTAGCGGCAGCCCAGAGCCTTCGCGCAGGCTTCCGCATCGGCGATCGATTCGGGCGCGGTATAGTCATACGGCATCATCACGCAGCGCACGCGCTCCTCACCCAGCGCATCGACGGCCAGCGCCGCGCAGATCGCCGAATCGATGCCGCCGGACAGGCCGAGCACCACATTGGCAAAGCCGTTCTTGTTCACATAATCGCGCAGGCCCAGCATGCAGGCGCGATAGTCGGCCTCCATCGTGTCGGGAATGACCGACATCGGCCCGTCGGCGAACACCCAGCCATCGCCGTCGCGCCGGCAGGTCACCACCGTGACCTGCTCCTCGAACTGGCTCATCTGGAAGGCCAGCGACCGGTCGGCGTTGAAGCCGAACGAGGCGCCGTCGAAGATCAGATCGTCCTGCCCGCCGACCTGGTTGGCATAGATCATCGGCGCATCGCTCTCGATCACCTGCCGCAGCACGACCTGGTGCCGCACGTCCATCTTGCCGCGATAATAGGGCGAGCCGTTGGGCACGAGCAGGATCTCGGCGCCACTCTCGGCCAGCGTTTCGCAGACGCCCATGTCGCCCCAGATATCCTCGCAGATCGGGATGCCGATCCGCACGCCGCGAAAATCGACAGGCCCGCGCATCGGACCCGGCTCGAACACGCGCTTTTCGTCGAACTCGCCATAGTTCGGCAGATCGACCTTGAACCATTCCGACGTGACCGCGCCGCTGTCGAGAACCAGCGCAGCATTGTGGCGCTTGCCGTCGCGCATCAGCGGCAGGCCCATGATCACGCCCGGCCCGCCATCGGCGGTGTCGGCGGCCAGCTCCGTTACCGCTTTCTCGCACGCTGCAAGGAAGGCAGGCTTGAGAACGAGGTCTTCGGGCGGATAGCCGGCGATGAACAATTCGGTGAACACGACCAGATCGGCGCCATGCCGCGCCGCGTCGGCGCGGGCCTCCCGCGCCAAGGCAAGGTTGCCTTGAACGTCGCCGACGGTGGGGTTCAACTGCGCGATCGCAATGCGCAAAACATCGGGGCTGCTTGTCATGGCCGACACGTATCGCGCGTCCGTTGCCCGCGCAACATGTCAGGACGCGCGATCGCTTTGGCCAACACAGCAGCGAGCCTTCAATCGCGGCCTTCGAACACCGGAAGCCCGTCGGCGAGTTCGTAATAGTCGCCCTTGTCGGCCGCAAAGATGTGGTGGCTCGCAGTCAAACCGGTCGGCAGATCCATGCTGCCGGCCATGATCGATGTCATGCCCGACCCGTCCCTTTTCCAGAACAGCAGCGAGCCGCAATGTCGGCAAAAGCCGCGCTTCGCACCGGGCGAGGCCGCATACCAGGTCAGATCACCGGCGCCGTTGATCTCGAGCGCGTCGTCGGCGACGCGCGTGGCGGCAACGAAATGCCCGGTCTGCTTGCGGCATTGCGTGCAATGGCAATAGATCACGTCACGCAACGGACCCGTCACCGTGTAGCGTACCGAGCCGCAATGGCATCCGCCTGTCTTCATCATCACCTCCACTGGAACGAGAACACTAGCGGGGACGGCAAACGAAACAGTCGCGGGGGCGCCCTGCGCTGACGCTCAGTGGAAAATCCAGCTGTCCCAGGCAAAGAAGCCGAACTGCCGGGAGGCATGCGCATGCTCGGCCCGTGGGTTCGAACCGGCGGCGCCGGCCGCGAAGAGAAGCGGCATGAGGTGCTCGTCCGTCGGATGGTTGTCGGCGACGAACGGCGCCTTGTCGCGCCAGGCGAGCAGCGCCTCGGTGTCGCCGGACGCGATCGCGTCGGCCATCCACCCCACGAATCCATCCACCTTGGACGCCATCTCGGGATCGGACGGCATGCCTTCGCGCATCGCCGAGAAGACGGCGCGGAGATTGTGGGTGATGTGGCCGCTTCCGATCATCAGGATACCCTCGGCGCGCAGCGGCGCCAGCGCCGCGCCCAACCGGTGGTGATAGGCCGCATCGCGCGAGGGATCGATCGAAACCTGCACGACCGGAATGTCGGCGTCCGGCCATGCCAGCCTGAGCACGGTCCAAGTGCCGTGATCGTAGCCGCGTTCATCGGCATAGGCCGGCGACAGGCCGGCGCTTTCGAGAAGCCCGTGCACGCGCCCGGCAAGCGCCGGGTCGCCAGGGGCAGGATAGACGATCTCGTAGAGTTCCCGCGAGAAGCCGCCGAAATCATAGATCATGCCCGGCTTTGGATCGCGCACCACGGTCGGCCCGTCCGTCTCGAAATGCGCCGATGCGATGACGATGGCCTTCGGCCTCGGCAGCCGCTCCGGCAGACCCTCGAGATAGGTCCGCGCCTCGGACGGATCGGTGACCACGTTCGGGCCTCCGTGCGAGACGAAGATGGTCGGCATCGGCTCCATTGCTTCACACTCCGCATGGTTTGACGCGAGCAACCTAGGCCGGCGCCCGCCCGCTGCATACCGGTCCCCGCGGAGACACTGCGTCCAGAACCGGTGAACGGCGCCCACAAAAAAGAAAAGCCGCGAGCCAAGGCCCGCGGCTTCAACATCGGCGCGCGTGACGCTGTCAGGCGTTGGCGGCGATTTTGCTTTCGGCGCCCTTGCGGCCGTTCTTGAGCCGTTCGGCGACCAGAAACGCCAGTTCGAGCGCCTGATCGGCGTTCAGCCGGGGATCGCAATGGGTGTGATAGCGGTCCGAAAGCTGTTCCTCGGTCACTTCGCGTGCGCCGCCCATGCACTCGGTGACGTCCTTGCCGGTCATCTCGACGTGAATGCCGCCCGGATAGCTGCCTTCGGCCTGATGCACGTCGAAGAAGGCGTTGACCTCGCTCAGCACCCGGTCGAACGGCCGCGTCTTGTAGCCGTTGGCCGTGATCGTGTTGCCGTGCATCGGATCGCACGACCAGACCACCTTCTTGCCCTCGCGCTGCACCGCCCGGACGAGCGCCGGCAGATGCTGCTCGACCTTGTCATGGCCGAAGCGGGCGATCAGCGTCAGCCGGCCCGCTTCGTTGGACGGGTTGAGCGCATCGATCAGGTTGAGAAGATCGTCCGGCTGCAGCGAGGGGCCGCATTTCAAGCCGATCGGGTTCTGGATTCCGCGCGCAAACTCCACATGGGCATGGTCGGCCTGCCGCGTCCGGTCGCCGATCCAGATCATGTGGCCCGACGTGGTGTAATGCTCGCCGGACGTGGAATCGACGCGGGTCATCGCCTCTTCATAGCCCAGAAGCAATGCCTCGTGGCTGGTGTAGAATTCGGTTTCGCGCAGCCGCGCATAATTCTCCGGCGTCATCCCGATCGACGCCATGAAGTCGAGCGTCTCCGAAATCCGGTCGGCCAACTGCTCGTAGCGCTCGCCCTGCGGACTGTCGGCGACGAAGCCGAGCATCCACTGATGCACATTGTCGAGCCGGGCATAGCCGCCCTGCGCAAACGCGCGCAGAAGGTTCAGCGTGGCCGCCGACTGTCGGTACGCCATGATCTGGCGCTCGGGATCGGGAATGCGCGAGCCTTCGTCGAACTCGATCCCGTTGATGATGTCGCCGCGATAGGACGGCAGTTCGACCCCGTCGCGCTTTTCGATGTCCGACGAGCGCGGCTTGGCGAACTGGCCGGCGATGCGGCCGACCTTGACCACCGGCTTGGACGCACCGAACGTCAGGACGATCGCCATCTGCAGGAAGACACGGAAGAAGTCGCGGATGTTATCGGCGCCATGCTCGGCGAAGCTCTCGGCGCAATCGCCACCCTGCAGCAGGAAGCCCCTGCCCTCGGCGACGTCGGCCAGCGATGCCTTCAGCGCCCGCGCCTCACCGGCGAAAACCAGCGGCGGATAGCTGCGCAGCCGCTCCTCGACCGCCGCAAGCTTGTCCTGGTCGGGATAGGACGGGACCTGCAGGATCGGCTTGTTGCGCCAGCTTTGCGGTGTCCAATTGTCTGCCATGATCGTTACGCCTGAAAATGCGGAAAAACGGCGCGCCCATCGCGCCACGCGGTCCTATAGAGCAGGTTCCCCGCCGCTGTCACCCCGCAAAGGGATGCACGACCGCCCGGCTATTGCGCCAGAAAGCCGTCGACATGGTTGAGGCCAGCGGTCACCGTGTCGATAAGGTCGACCTCGTCCGGCGCCAGCTTGACCGCCCGCGGATAGAGCGGCGACGCCCGGTCGCGCACGATCGGAGTGTCGAACGCCGCCGTGCTCTCGACGAACCGCCGGGCGCCATGCTCGCCATACTGATGCAGATAGCCCTGCAGGACCGCGTCCAGATAGCTTTGCAGAATGTGATGGCGCGGTCCGCCATCGTCCGGCGGCCGGGCCACATACACATAATAGGCAACGTCCGGCAGGCCGGCGTCCTCCCGGTCCAGCCGAAGCTGGGAACGGTCGAGCCGGACGCGGTCATAGCCATGCTCGCGCGCATCGACCGCCGGCAGATTGTGCACATGGTCGAAGATGAGCAGCCCGCTCAATTCGTCGATCGCCATGTCCGCATGATAGGCGCTGAGAAACGAAACAGGATGGCGGGCGGAATCGGAGCGCTGCTGCCAACGCCGGCCGAAACCGGTCAGATGCGCCTTCTCGCAATGGACGACATGGGTGCGGTGCGTATGCGCGTTGACCAGCGATCCGTAGCCGAAATAGGCGACGACATCTTCCCGTGCGTCCAGATGTGTCAGGTCGTAGGGCATTGATGGGTGTCAGGCCGCGATGCGCTCTCCCTGCCGCACCAGATAGGTCGGTTTGTAGAGCGTGACCAGTTCTTCGGCGGCGGTGGGATGAACCGCCATCGTCGCATCGAAATGATCTTTCGTACACCGCGCCTTGAGCGGGATGGCCAGCAATTGCGCCATTTCGCCCGCGCCCGGACCGATCACATGGGCGCCCACGACGATACGGCTTGCCGCATCGACGATGAGCTTCATCATCATCTTTTCCTTGCGGTCCGGCAGCACATTGTGCATCGGGCGAAACGTCGTCTTGTAGACTTCGAGGTCGCCATGGCGCTCGGCCGCCTCGGCTTCGGTGAGCCCCGCCGTGCCGATTTCCGGCTGTGAGAAGACCGCCGTCGCCACCGTGTCATAGTCGGGTTTTGTGGGATTGTCCTTGAAGGCGGTCTCGAGCATGCACATCGCCTCGTGGATCGCCACCGGCGTCAGCTGCATCCGGTTGGTCACGTCGCCGACGGCCCAGATATTGTCCACATTCGTCCGCGAATAGTCGTCGACCACCACCGAACCGCGCCGGTCCGTTTCGACGCCAGCCGCGTCCAGCCCCAGACCGTGCGTGTTGGGATGGCGCCCGAGCGCCAGCATTACCTGGTCGACGACCATCTGCTCGCCCTTCGACAGGAACGCGTTGAGGCGGCCGTCGTCGCGCCGCTCGATCCGGTCGAACACCTGGTGGCAGATCACGCGGATGCCCTTGGCGATCATCGTGTCCTGCAGATGATCGCGCAAATCCTCGTCGAAGCCGCCAAGGATCTTCTGGCCGCGATACAAGAGCGTCGTGTCCACGCCCAGCCCGTGGAAGATGTTGGCAAACTCGACGGCAATGTAGCCGCCGCCCGCGATGATGATCGATTTGGGCAGGCTATCGAGGTGAAACGCCCCGTTGGAGGTGATGCACAGCTCGTGGCCCGGCAGATCGGTGTGCAGGTTCGGGCTGCCGCCGGTGGCGATCAGGATCTGGTCGGCCGTGACCTGCTGACCGGTGGCCTCGAGTTCGATCGTATGCCGGTCGATGAGCCGGGCCCTGCTGTCGTGGATCGTCACGCCATTGGTCTCAAGGCCCTTGCGATAGAGCCCTTCCAGCCGCTCGATCTCGCGGTCCTTGTTGGCGATCAGCGTCGGCCAGTCGAAATGGATGTCGCCGACATGCCAGCCATAGCCGGCAGCATCCTCGAAATGCTCGGAAAACTGCGAGGCATAGACAAACAGCTTCTTGGGCACGCAGCCGCGGATCACGCAGGTGCCGCCCATCCGGTATTCCTCGGCGAGGCCGACCCGCTTGCCCATCGCGCCGGCCAGACGGCCCGCACGCACGCCGCCCGAGCCGCCGCCGATGACGAACAGGTCATAATCGTGCCCCGCCATGCCCTGTCCGCCCGTCCTACTGCGCCGCGCCTTCGGTTTCGGCCGCGCCTTCCTCGGCTGCGGCCGGCGCCTGGCGCAGGCCCGCCTCGGCGAGGCGCCCGCTGACCCGCTCGAGCAGGTCGCGCTCGATGCCGCGCTGCCAGATGGCGGCCGCCTCGGTCACTTCGCGCGCCGCGATCGGTCCGTTGCGGATCAGCGCCTGGCCGGCCTCGGTCCGGTAGAATTCGGCGATCGCCCGCAAATCTTCCTCGCGCAGCGCCCGGGCGTAGATTTCCGCAGCTTCCGCTTCCAGATCGCCGCGCCGCGCCGCCAGCGCCAGCGCCTCTTCGTCGACGAACATCAAAATCTCGTTCTCAAGGTCCGGATTGTTCTGCAGCAGCCGTGCTTTCAATGCCTCGGCCACGTCCGGCAGGATGCCGTCATACCGGTCGGTCGCATCGATTGCCGAGATGGCCGCGCGAGCGGCCTGCAGATGGCTGTCGGATATCTCCTGCGCGCCGGCTGCCGAAACCGCGGCCAGGCCGCAGGCGGCGGTTGCCAGAACCGCATTGCGAACTGTCTTCAAAAACATCGATTCATCCCGTCTTTTGCGTGTCCGGCAGCTTTTGCCGCCGGCAGATTCCGGCCCGCTCATGGCACAGTCAGTTCCCGGACACCAGTCTCCCCCGCGACGATCGCCAGCGAGGCCATTGACAGGAACAAACCGTTTTCGACGACGCCCGGAATGGCGTTGAGCGCGCATGCCAGCGCCTGTGGGTCGGAAATGTGGCCGAAAGATGCGTCGACGATCAAATGGCCGCCATCGGTGACGATGCTCTCGCCCTTGCGCGCTGTTCGGATCGCGATGTCGCCGGTTGCGCCATGGTCGCGCGCCACCGCTTCGACCGCGCGGCGCGTGGTCTCCACGCCAAATGCGTTGACCTCGATCGGCAGCGGAAAGCGTCCCAGCCTGTCGACGACCTTGCTGTCATCGGCGATGACGATCATGCGTTTGGAGGCATGGGCGACGATCTTCTCGCGCAAAAGCGCCCCGCCGGCGCCCTTGATCAGATTGAGGTTCGGATCGATCTCATCGGCCCCGTCGACCGTCAGGTCCAGCTCATCGACATCGTCGAGCGATTCGAGGCGGATGCCCATTTCAACGCACAGCCGCGCCGTGCGCTCCGAGGTCGGAACACCGGTGATGTCGAGCCCGTCGCCCACCGCTTCGGCGAGGTGCGCGATGAACGCTTCGGCGGTCGATCCTGTCCCGATCCCCAGCCGCATCCCCTCACGCACATGTGCCATGGCCGCCTTGCCCGCCGCCGCCTTCATCTCCTCGGGTGACATCCGCCCATTTTCCCCTTCATGTGCCCCGCGCGGTGCGTTAACACGCTCCGAACGCGCCGCCAACCGTTGCAGCGCCCGCTTTCGCCGCTTGTCCATGAACGGGACCTCAATTCATGACCCGCCCCATTATCGTGTTCGATCTCGATGGCACGCTCATCGACACCGCACCCGATCTCCTGGACAGCCTGAACCATGTGATTACGGCCGAGGGGCTTGATCCGGTGTCGACGGCGGACCTGCGCTCCCATGTCGGCCATGGCGCCCGCGCCATGCTGCGTCGCGCCTACACGGCGCAGGAACGGGCACTGCCTGACGCCCGTCTTGAACATCTGGTAGCCGTGTTCATCGAGCACTACACCGCCAACATGCCCGGCCGCTCTCGACCGTTCGACGGCGCCGTTGCCTGCATGGACCGGTTCGAGGCAGCCGGCTTCGTGCTGGCGGTCTGCACCAACAAGTTCGAGGCCATGTCGCGGCAATTGCTTGAGGCGCTCGGGATTGGCGAACGGTTTGCCGCCGTCTGCGGCGCCAACACATTCCCTGTGCGCAAGCCCGAACCCGGGCATCTGACCGGCACGATCGACAGGGCCGGCGGCGATCGCAACCGGGCGGTGATGATCGGCGACAGCGATACCGACATCAACACCGCCAAGGCTGCCGGCATCCCCGTGGTGGCCGTCGATTTCGGCTATTCGCCGCAGCCGGTGGACACGTTCGCGCCGGACCGGATCATCAGCCATTTCGACGCGCTGACCCCGCTCATGGCCAACGAATTGATCGGCGCCCGGACCCGGCCCTGAGCATCGAAGCGCCCGGCGGGCCGTGCAAGCTTGACTTGGCCATGTGCGGATGCCTATAGCTCGCGCCGTTCCGGGCGGCAGCCAGCCGCCGCCGGCACGGGCGATTAGCTCAGCGGGAGAGCACTGCCTTCACACGGCAGGGGTCACTGGTTCAATCCCAGTATCGCCCACCATCCCCCTTCGTTCGACACCGTTCTGTGCTTCTTGGCGCGCCAAGATGCGATGGACTTTCGACCTGCTTTTCAAAGTCTGCCGAAAGGTTTACGGTGCGTAATCGGGTCAAGATGCAAGCCGAGGGGGCATTCCGTGACCGATGATGATGCCTTTGACTTTGTTGCACGCGTCGATGAACACAAGACGCTGGACGCGCTGCTGACAGATCTCCGGCAGCAGGCCTCCAACTTCGGCTTTGAGCATCTCATTCTGACCGGCGTGCCCGTCGGCGGGCAACGGCTGGAGCCGCTTGTCGCGCTGAACGGCTGGCCCGAAGGCTGGTTCAAACGGTATGTCGCCAAAGACTATGCCAGACATGACGCCGTCTGCGTCCATGCCGCCCAGTCGTTTCGGTCGTTTGCCTGGTCCGAGGTGCCGCGCCGACTGCTTGATCGGCCGGCCTGCAAGCGCATTCACGGCGAGGCGAGCGAGTTCGGGCTCTTGTCCGGCTATGTCGTCACCATGTCCTCCGAGCACCATTGGAACACGGCGGTCTCCTTCGGCTCGCCGGAAGACGGGCTGGTGATCAACAAGCGCGACCGCGCGCGCCTGAGCCTGATGGCGACCTATGCCGGCGCACGGGCCGAGGAGATACTCGGCCTCACCGGCCAAGCGGACCCGTTGACGCACCGCGAGAAGGAAGTGCTGACCCACTTCGCAGTCGGCCGTACCGCCGGCGCCATCGCCGAGCTGCTGTCGATATCCGAACGCACGGTGGTTCAGCACGCCGAAAACTTCCGGCGCAAGCTCGGCGTCAAGTCGACCGTGCACGCGGTCGCCATTGCGATCAAGCGCCGCCTCATCATGCCCTGAGCCGCCAAACGGTAACCGGACGATCCGTCACCGCGTCATCCGGCAGCGACAGACGATGGGCGATGGGCGATGGGCGATGGGCGATGATGTGCGTTTGCAAGTGCGATTGACCGCAAAAATCGTACCGGCATCGGAACATCTTCCGATTCCGCCGCTCACAATCCGGTGCGACAATTCCTCCAATCGCCGGAGGAAGACCGATGATCGAAGCCCACGTCTTCAGCTACGGACAGCGCCACCTTTATGCCGACGAGTGGGAGCAATGGCTCCGTTTGCGCCATCAGGTCTACATCGAAGAGAAACGCTGGCACGAGCCCAATGCGGACGGCCGCGAAACCGACCAGTTCGACAATGATGCGGCGACCTACATACTCGGCCTTCTGGACGGCCGGGTTGTCACCTCCGCCCGGCTGATCCCCTGCAATCGGCCAACGCTCGTGTCCGACGTATTTCCGCACTTCTGCGAGCGGGCCGGCGTGCCCGACCGGCCCGACTGGATCGAGTGGACGCGGACGCTGACCGTCCCGGAGTTGCGGTCAGGCGGCCGGCAGAGCATCCTGACCCAGCTTTGCGCCGCGGTGATGGAGTATTGCCTTCAGGAAGGCGCGGCCAAGGTCGGCGGCATCCAGGAGCTGTTCTTCCTGCCCAAATGGAAGCATCTTGGCTGGAAGACGACACCGCTCGGACTGCCGCAGGAAATCGAGGGCAGCGGCGAATGCGTCGTGGCTTTCATCGACGTTAACGAAACCGCGCTCGGCAATATTCGTACAGTGCTGGGAACCGGTCGTTCTCCGCTGCGCCACCGAGGAGAACGTCCCCGGCTGATCGACGGGGACCGGGTGGAGTTCACGCAATGAGAATTGGTTCGACGATTGCCGGCGGCAGTGTGTCCGGACCCCAGGCTTGTCCGCCAGTCGGACAAAAACAGGAAACCCCGCAGGCTGCAACCTGCGGGGCTTCAAGGCACGGCCTAACGGGTGAGGTCTGAAACCGCGCGCGCCAAACATATTTGTTTGTTGCCTGCGGTCCATAGGATCCGTGCCGATTTGTCGCGCCCGACCCCCCCTGAAAACGGTCGGGCGCGGCAGGTTTTTCGCCCGTCCTATTTGCGCCGGTTACAGATTCAGGTGCGGTGTCGAACCGTTCATCGCTGTCAATCGCCGGGAAAAAACTTCATATTCTTCTTCAATAACAACCGCATGGCGATCGGCATCGACTGGTCGTCGCGGCTGTTTATTGAGCGGTCACAAGAAAATACACGGCGACCACAAAAATTTATGCCTTTCGCGCTCGTTAGACGCGAATCCTTGGGCGCCGATACCGGCGCATCGATGCGACAAACCCGAAAACCGTTCACAACTTATCAAATCATGCCGCCGCGACAGTCTTTGCCTTATTGGGCATGCCGTTCCGCCAAAGGCGGCACCAGAAAGAGCTGCAAGCCCCGGTCAGCGTATGCCGGACGGCACGATTGTCTGGTCTGTCGCCGGTGCCGACTGGAGCGTCGTTCACGCCGCGTCGGTCAATGCCTTGGCGCTGTAGAGCGCGACGATCCTGTCGCGGCTGGCCGGCGCCTGATGGAAGTAGCCCTGGAACAACCGGCAGCCGGCAACGGCGGCGCGCAACCGGTCGTCCTGGGTCTCGATGCCCTCGGCGACAACCGTCCGGTCCATTTTGCCGGCAATCTGCGTCACCGCGCTGACGAAAGTGTCGGTGACCACGTCCGTGCCGATGTTCTGGATGTAGGATTTGTCGATCTTGATGATGTCGAACGGCAATTTGCGCAGCTGGTTGAACTCGCTGTAGCCCATGCCGAAATCGTCGAGCGCGATCCTGAAGCCGGCGCGCTTGATGTCCGCCATTCGGTCGACGAAATCATCGGAGGTATCGAGCATGGCGCTTTCCGTGATCTCGAGCACAACCCGGCTCGGCGGAACGTTCTTGCGTTTGAGAACATCGACATAGTCGCGCAGGAACGTGTCATGCGCGAGCTGCCAGGCCGAAATGTTCACGTTGACCGACACATCCGGCAGGGTTTCCAGATCATCGCAGACCTGCTTGAGCACGTAGAGCCCGAGTTCGTGGATGAGGCGCGACTTTTCGGCGACGGGAATGAATTCGGCCGGCGAAATGGCGCCGCGAACCGGGTTGTGCCAACGAACGAGGGCTTCCAGAGAGTTGAGTGACCCGTCTGTATCCATGATCGGCTGGTAGTGGACGGTCAGTTGGCCCAGAAGAATGGCCGCGCGCAGTTCGCGTTCGATGAACCGCTCCTGCCGCGCATCGGCGAGGATCTCCGGCGAGAACACCGACCAGGCGCCGCGTCCGCCGCGCTTGGCTTGCTGCAGTGCCAGATCGGCGAACGACAACAAGTCGTTGGCATTGTCGGTGTGGCCCGGCGCGAGCGCGACGCCCAGAGACGCTGAAACGGCCTGGCGTCGGTTGGCGATGAACAGCCCTTCACGCAGCGTCGCCAGATATGCCGAGCAGGCATCGGTCACATAGCGTTCCGGAATGACGTCGTCGGAGGAAAAGAAGACGGCCAGTTCATCGCCGCCCAACCGGCCCACCGATGCGCCGGGAAACGCCTGGCGGGCAATGCGGGCGCAAAAGCCCAGAACGTCGTCACCCGCCCCATGGCCGAGGGCGTCGTTGATCTGCTTGAGATGATCGATGTCGATGATGACAAGCGCAACCGAGCCGGACTTGCGATGGCTGGCCACGGTACGCTTGAGATCATCGAGAAAATGGCCGCGCATGGCCGCGCCGGACACAAGGTCCGTGTTGTGCTTCAGCCGCAATTCCTCATTGATGACCCTGTGGGTCTTCAATCGCTCCGACATCAGCGCATAGATCGCACCCGCGATGATGATGATCAGCGCCGTGCTGGCCATCTCCAACTGGGCAAGCGACTGGGCCGTCACCATTGTGCTGAGCGTTTCGTAGGGCAAGACGAAATGAACCGAGTGCGCAGCGACCAGAACGACGAGAACGAGGATCAGTGCGTGTTCGACGGTGAATCGGCGAGGCAATGCGGGTTTGCCGCCGATGGTCTTTCGCAAGCTGGGATTGGGCGCAGACATTGCGGCCGGTCTCTCCGTGGCATGAACGTCTGACTGATGGGCGCCGGACGCAATTTGATCAACAAACATGCCGGGAGCGGCGTCTAGTCATCGCACGCATCATGCGCGCCGGTCGATGATGCCATTTCTAGAGCGTCATGCTCTCGTTTTTCTTAATGGCGGCCCCGCAAAATATCATGGGACCCGTCATTTCCATTCGCTTTCGCGCCGAAATCCCGTCTGGTGACGGATCAGGCCGCGCCCGACAGGCCTTCCAGCAGCAGCGCGACGGCTTCGGCACCGGGATCGTTGTGACCGGCAAGGCTCTGGGCGGCCACATAGGTGGCGCGGCCGGCCTTGGCGCGTGTGATCTTCGACGTGGCGTCGGCCCCGGCGCGCGCAGCGCGCGCCGCGACGTCCAGCCCATCATCGAGTGCGGCAAGCGCCGGCGCCAGCGCGTCGATCATGGTGCGGTCGCCGGGAGACGCGCCGCCGACCTGCATGATGCGATCAAGGCCGGCCGAAAGCGCGCCGACCGCATCCTTGCCGTTGGCCGAGGCGTCACCGGCGGCGGCAAAGAAAATCGCCAGCAGCACGCCGGACGAACCGCCCATGGTCTGGCTGAGTTCGCTTCCCAGCGCACGATAAAGCTGGGTCAGGTCGGCCAGGGGCATGCGGTCGAGCGCGGCCATCAGCGCCCGGCAGGCGGTTGCCAGGGTCGAGCCCGTGTCTCCGTCGCCCGATTTGGCGTCGAGCGCGTTGAGCCTGTCTTCGGCCTCAAGCAGAATTGCACAGCAGCGTTCGATCAGTGCCCTGTGTCCGGCATGCTCGGACGCCATCGGCTGGATCGGCGACAGCCCGTCGGGCAGCGGCACGATGTGCGGCTCGCCCACTTCGGCCATGCCCGGCCATGCGACAGGGGCGACCGGCGCCTTCAGCGCGTTCAGTTCGTCCACGCCCACCGGCAGCAGCGACACCGAAAACCCGCGCATGTCCAGCGATGTCATCAGCGGCGCCGGCCCGATCATGTGGCTGACCTTGCCGGCGATCGACGAACGGCACAGTTCCTCGGCCAGAACCGACATTTCGAGCGGCGTGGTCGAACCGAGATTGTTCAGCAGCGCGACATGTGGCCGGTCGTCCAGATGCGGCTTGAGCTTTTCGGCAACCATCTCCATGGCATGCCGTGCACCCTCGAAATCGACCTGCTCGACGCCGGCTTCGCCGTGGATGCCGAGCCCCAGTTCAGCCTTGCCGGCGGCGATCCGGTCTTCCTTGGGCGAGCCGGGCACCGTGCAGGTGTCAAGCGACATGCCGATCGAGAACACGCCGTCGATGGTCTTCTGCGCGAGCGCGGCGATCTCGTCGAGCGACGCGCCGGCCTCTGCCGCCGCACCGGCGATCTTGTGCACGAACAGCGTGCCGGCGACGCCGCGCGGCTGCGGCAGGTCGGGCAGCGCAACATCGTCATCGACCACCACCATCGCCACCTTGATACCGAAGGCACGCGCCCGTTCGGCGGCAAGACCGAAGTTCAGGCGGTCACCGGTATAGTTCTTGACGATCAGCAGGCACCCCGCCTCGCCGGTGACCGCGAGGATCCCGGCCAGCACCGCATCGACGGAGGGAGAGGCGAACACGTCGCCGCAGACGGCAGCTGTGAGCATGCCCTGCCCGACGAACCCGGCATGGGACGGCTCGTGCCCCGAGCCGCCTCCGGAGACGAGCGCTACCTTCGATCTGTCCCAGTCGGTGCGCACGACCACCTTGATGTGCGGGAAGCCGTCGAGCCGCGCCAGCCGTCCGTCGGCGTTGCGCAAAAGCCCGTCAATGGCTTCGGTGACCACATCTTCCTTGGCGTTGATGAACTGTTTCATGGCGTGCCTCCCTCACACTACCCGGTTGCCCGCCGCATCGAAAAAGAGCGGTTCGTGCGGCGTCACCGCGACGCGGTCGCCGTGATCGAGCGTCGAATGGGCGTCGGCGAGCGTCGTCAGCACATGCCCTTCGACCTCAAGATGCACCCGCGTCTGGTCACCCAGATGCTCGACCCGTGTCACGGTGCCCGATTTGCCGCCTTCGCCGTTCAGCGAGATATGCTCGGGCCGCAAGCCGATATGGGCGGCACCGGACGGCGCGCCGCCGAACAGCCCTGCCGGCAAGAGATTGATGCGCGGCAGGCCAAGGCGCGTCGCCACATATTCGCTCACCGGGTTTTCGTAGATCTCGCGCGGCGGCCCGAACTGCACGAGCCGCCCTTCGTCGAGCACGCCGATATGCGTCGCCATCGTCATCGCCTCGATCTGATCGTGCGTGACATAGAGCAGCGTCGCCCCCAGATCGGCCTGAATGCGCTTGAGTTCGATCCTCAGCTCCGAGCGCAGCTTGGCATCGAGCGAGGACAGCGGTTCGTCCATCAGATAGATCGCCGGATCGCGTACGAGTGCGCGCCCGATGGAGACGCGCTGCATCTCGCCGCCGGAAAGCTGCGTCGCCTTGTTGTCGAGCTTGTGCGGGATCTGGAGCACCTCGGCCACTTCGGCGACCTTGCGCTCGATCTCGGCCGGAGAGGTGTTCAGGATCGGCGATTTGAGCGGAAAGGCAAGGTTTTCGCGCACCGTCATGTGCGGGTAGAGCGAATATTGCTGGAACACCATGGCGACGTCGCGCTGCGCCGGCGTTTCGCCGACAACGGGCCGGCCGCCGATCGTGATCTCGCCGCGGTCGGGCCTTTCGAGACCGGCGATCAGCCGCAGCGTCGTGGTCTTGCCGGCACCCGTCGGACCGAGCAAGACGACGAACGCACCGTCGGGCACGTCGAGATCGATGCCATCCACGCCGATCGTGTGGCCGAAAACCTTCGTGACATCACGCAGAACGACTTCAGCCATGGCCGAACGCTCCCGCATTGAGGTCCGAGGCAAGCGCCCGGCCGGTCGTGTCGTCGAACAATGTCAGCGTCTGCGGCAGGAAATCGAGACCCACCCTCTCGCCCGGCCGGATCGCATGCGCCGCGCCCGTGCGCGCCTTGACATCGCCATTGGGTGTATCGAGCGTGACGATCTGCGTGGTGCCCAGATATTCCGCCGCACGAACCTCGCCGCGATAGGAGGCGCTGTCGGAAAGGACCACGTGCTCGGGCCTGACGCCGAGCACCAGCTCTCCGGCGGCCGCCTCATGCTGCACAGGAACGGCGAAATCGGCGCCGTTCAGCGTAACTCTCGATGCGCCTTCGGTGACCGTGCCATCGAAACGCAGGAAATTCATCGATGGCGATCCGATGAAATCGGCAACGAACATGGTCGCCGGCTTGTCGTAGATTTCCTGTGGCGTGCCGAACTGCTCGACGACGCCATGGTTCATCACGACGATCTTGTCGCCCATCTGCATGGCTTCCAATTGATCATGCGTGACATAGACCGTCGTCGCGCCCATCCGGTCGTGCAGCGCCCGCAATTCCTCGGCCATGCGCTCGCGGAACTCGGCGTCGAGCGCGCCCAGCGGCTCATCCATCATGAAGGCCTTGGGATCGCGGACGATCGCGCGGCCGAGCGCCACGCGCTGGCGGTCGCCGCCCGAAAGCCCGCCGACCGGCCGGTCGAGAATGCTCTCGATGCCCAGAATGCGTGCGACTTCGTCGAGCTTGCGGTTGATCTGCGCGCGCGGCATTCCCTGGCTGACCAGCGGATAGATGATGTTTCGGCGCACATTCATGTGCGGATAGAGCGCGAACATCTGGAAGACGAAGGCGATGTCGCGCTGGCTGGCCGGCTTCTGCCCCACTTCCTCGCCGCCGATATAGATTTCGCCCGATGTGGGCAGTTCGAGCCCGGCGATCATGCGCAGCGTCGTCGTCTTGCCGCAGCCGGACGGGCCGAGCAGCATGAAGAACTCGCCATCGGCAATGGTGAAGGACGATGATTGCACGGCGGTGAAATCACCGAACTCCTTGCGCAGGTCTTTGATGACGATCTCGGCCAACGTCAGGTCATCCATCCATGAACGCGATCGGATTTGGCGGCAGAAATGGCAAAGGGATGCCAGGAACGGTTCGATGAGCGGGCCGGCCGCCCGGTCGAGAGCGGCGACGCCGCAGCGCGCAGCCATTTCGCCGTCCGAAGGATAAGGACGATTTGCCCCGATACAACGTTCCAAAGGCTTGAAAGTGCACCACACTTCCGGCGCCTTTGCGCCTCGTCTCGCAGCAAATCGTCTCTTACCAAATCAATCGGGCTCATGGATGAATGGCCTTTACTCCGGAAAATGGCTGACGATGATGAACATCACCGTGCCGATCAGCGTCACGATGAACGAATAGGTGAAGAAGCCGATTGCAAAGGGCTGCATCAGCATCAGAACGCCGAGCGCGATCAGGATCGTCGCCACCATCTCCCATGGCCCCCGGCGAAAACGGGCCAGACCGGTGAAAAAGCCGTTCATTTGCGCACTGCGCCGAACGTGATGCCGCGCAACAGATGCTTGCGCAGGGCGACGGTGAAGATCATCACGGGCAAGAGGAACAAGGTCGCGCCTGCGGCCACCGCCGGCCAGTCCTGCCCGCCCACGCCGATGATCGTCGGGATGAAGGGCGGCGCGGTCTGCGCGGTGCCCGAGGTCAGCAGCACGGCAAATGCGTATTCGTTCCATGAAAAGATCAGGCAGAAGATCGCCGTCGCCACGATCCCGGTCGTCGCCTGCGGCAGCACCACCTTGTAGAAGGCCTGAAAGCGCGTGTAGCCGTCGATCAGTGCCGCTTCCTCATATTCGCGCGGGATCTCGTCGATGAACCCCTTCAGCAGCCAGACCGCCAGCGAAATGTTGACCGCCGTATAGAGCAGGATCATGCCCAGATGGGTGTCCGACAGGCCAAGCTGGCGGTACATCAGGAAGATCGGGATCGCCACGGCGATCGGCGGCATCATCCGCGTCGACAGGATGAAGAACAGAAGATCGTCCTTCAGCGGTATTCGAAAGCGCGAAAAGGCGTAGGCTGCCAGAACGCCCAGAAAGATGCTCAGGAACGTCGAGCCGAAGCCGATGATGATCGAGTTGAGGAACCGTTCGCCATAGCGCGACGGGCCGACGATCACCATGTCGTACTGCCGGACGATCTCCTCGTACCAGGTCTGCGGCGGGTTGGCGGCAAGATAGTCCTCGGTCTGGCGCGTGCGCGTGGTGAAGAGGTTCACATAGCCTTCCAGCGTCGGCTCGAAGAGCACCTTGGGCGGGTAGGAGATCGCGTCCGCCGGGCTCTTGAAGCCGGTGGCGACGATCCAGACGAGCGGGATCATCGTGATCAGCGCATAGGCGATGACAAGCGTGCCGGCGATCCATTTCTGCCGGCCCGACGGCTCGTTGACCGAATAGGCGCTCATCGTTCCTTCACCTTGTTGAGGGCCTTCACATAGATCGAGGCCAGGCCGAACACGGTCACGAACAGGATGATGGCATAGGCCGACGAATAGCCGGTGCGCCATTTCTCGAACGCTTCGCGCTTGAGATTGATCGAGGCCAGTTCGGTGATGCTGCCCGGCCCGCCGCCGGTCAGTTGCACGACCAGGTCGAACATCTTGAAGTTCTCGATGCCGCGGAACAGCACCGCCAGCATCAGGAACGGCAGCACCATCGGCACGGTGATCGTCCAGAACTGGCGCCATTTCGACGCCCGGTCGATCTCGGCCGCCTCGTAGATGTAATCTGGAATGGATCTCAGGCCGGCCAGGCAGATCAGCATGACGAACGGCGTCCACATCCATGTGTCGACGATGACGATCGCCCAGGGCGCCAGCGTCACCGAACCGATCATCTCGAACGAGGACGGGTCGGCGCCGATGAAGAAGGCGACGATGTAATTGAAAAGTCCGATTTGCGGCTGGTAGAGGAAGGTCCAGAAATTGCCGACAACCGCCGGCGACAGCATCATCGGCAGCACGATGATCGTTGTCCAAAGATCGTTGCCGCGGAATTTCTTGTTGATCAGATAGGCCAGCGCGAAGCCGATCAGCACCTGGAAGAAGATCGTCCAGAACAGGAAGTGCGCCGTCGCCTGCATGTTCAGCCAGATGTCGCTGTCGGTCAGGATGCGCTCATAATTGCGCAGCCCCACCCATTCGACCTCGCGGTTCGGCCGGTTGGCGCGGAAATTGGTGAACGACAGATAGACCGTCCAGATCAGCGGGAAGATGTTGATCGCCAGCAGCAGGAAGATCGTCGGGCCGACGAACAGCCACGCGATCGCCCGGTCCGACAGGCCGCGCACCTTGCGTGCGACCCGGGCCGGCGTGCGCTGGGCGATTTTGTCGATGGCGGTGTCCGTCATGCGGCCACAAGCCTCCCGCTCGTGCCATGGGCACGATCATGAATGCAAAATTTCCAAGGGGCAACGCCCCGGCCGAAACCGGCCGGGGCGCCGATCGGTATCAGAGCTTGCCTTCGTCCTCGAAGACCTCGGTCCAGTCCTCGATCAGCTTGTCGAGGGCTTCCTGGGCCGTGCCCTGATCGGCAACGATGTAGTCGTGCAGGCGCTTCTGCATGGCCAGCAGCAGTTCGGCATAAGCCGGCTCCTGCCAAAAGTCCTGAACGCCGTCCATGGCGACCAGGAAATCGCCGGCGAACGGCGCGCTCTCTTCAAAGCCATCCCCCTGCAGCACCGAATTGTGGGCCGAATAGCCGCCCAGCTCCCACCATTTGGCCTGCACCTCGGGCTGTGCGAACCACTTGATGTATTCGAGCGCCGCATCCTGCTTGTCCGAATAGGCGACAACCGAGATGCCCTGCCCGCCCAGCGTCGAGGCGGCCACGTTCTGCGGCGGGTTGACGAAGAAGTCGATCTTGTCGCCGCCCGTGTTCGGATCCGCATAAAGGCCGGGGAAGAAGGCGAACCAGTTCATCGCCATCGCCACCTGACCTGACTTGAAGGCGTCGAGCGACTGCTCCATGTAGGCGTCCGTATATCCGGGCGGCGTGCAGCACTCGTAGAGCTCCTTGTAGAACTCAAGCGCCTCGACCGCTTCGGGCGAATTCACAGCGCCCGCCATGTCGTAGCTGCCGGGCTCGTTCTCGTACTTGAAGCCCCAGGCGTAAAGCGCGCCGGTGGCGCCCATGGTGATGCCTTCCGACCCGCGCTCGGTGAAGATGGAAACACCGTAGCGGGTCTGGCCATCGATCTCGCGCTCCTGGAAGAACTTGGCGATCTGCATGAGCTCCATCTGCGACTGCGGCTCACGCAACTCCTGGCCGGTCTCTTCCATATAGGCCGCGCGGATGTCCTCGTTCTCGAACCAGTCCTTGCGGTAGAACCAGCCGTTCGCATCGCCCATCGCCGGCAGCGCGTAATAGTTCGGCGAACCCTTCGGCCAGGTCGAATAGGCATAGACGGTCGCCGGGGCGAAATCGTCCATCGAGATGCCTTCGGCATCGAAGAAGTCGTTGAGCTTGACGTAATGGCCGTTCTCGGCGCCGCCGCCGATCCACTGGCTGTCGCCGATCAGAAGGTCACACAGCTTGCCGCCCGAATTGAGCTCGTTGAGCATGCGGTCGGCGAAGTTCGGCCACGGCACGAACTCGAAATTCATGGTGTGACCGCTCTCGGCCTCGAACTCCTTGGACAGTTCCACCAGCGCGTTGGCCGGGTCCCATGCCGCCCAGCACAGGGTCAATTCTTCGGCCTGGGCCGCGTTGGCCCCCATGAGGCCGGCGGTCGACATGGCGGTTGCCATCAACAATGCACGTTTGATCATCGATTTCCTCCCTGATGAAGCGGACTGCGGCGGCTGAACGCGAACCGGACGGGCCCTCCCAAGCGCCGAACTTCGACCAAAAGCCTAAATGAGGTACGCACCTCATGTCGAGTCCCAATTTGCCCCGGCGACAAAAAAGATCGCAGCCGGCAGGTTCGTCGCGATCAGATGGCAAGCCGCGTCCAGGCCGCGTCGCGTTTGGACGAACGCACGCACGCATCGACGAAGGCAACGCCGATCAGCCCGTCATGCGCGGTCGGATAGACCACATCGTCGGGCACCGGTTCGCCGGCGCTCACGGCGCGGATCGCCGCCGCCGCCTCGGTGTAGATGTTGGCAAAGCCTTCAAGATAGCCTTCGGGATGGCCCGGCGGCACACGGCTCATCCGGCCCGCAGCTTCCCCGGCCCCGGCGCCATTGCGCGTGATGAGGCGCTTGGGCTCACCGAGCGGCGTGAACCAGAGGTAGTTGGGGTCCTCCTGCCGCCATTCGAGCCCGCCCTTGTCGCCATAGACCCGCAGCTTGAGGGCGTTTTCGTTACCCGGCGCGACCTGGCTCGACCACAGCATGCCCTTGGCGCCTCCGGCAAACCGCAACAGCACATGGGCATTGTCGTCCACGCGCCTGCCTTCGACGAACGTGTCGAGATCGGCGGCCAACGCCTCCACCTGAAGCCCCGTGACGAACTGCGCCAGATTGAGCGCATGGGTGCCGATGTCGCCGGTCGACCCGCCCGCGCCCGACCGCGCGGGATCGGTGCGCCAGGCCGCCTGCTTCATGCCTGCAGCCTCGAGCGGTTCGGTCAGCCAGTCCTGCGGATACTCGGCCTGTACAAGCCGGATGCGGCCGATTTCGCCATTGGCGATCATCTCGCGCGCCTGCCGGATCATCGGATAGCCGGTGTAATTGTGCGTCAGGATGAACAGCGCGTCCGAACTCTCGGCCAGCTTCACCAGCCGCTTGGCGTCCGGCAGGGTCGAGGTGAGCGGCTTGTCGCAGATGACATGGATACCGCGCTTGAGGAACTCGCGCGCCACCGGATAGTGCATGTGGTTGGGCGTGACGATGGCAACCGCATCGATGCCGGTCTTCAGCCGCGCCTCGCGCTTTGCCATCTCGGTGAAGTCGCCATAGATGCGGTCGTCCGGCAGGCCGAGATCGCGGCCCGATGCCTTCGATTTTTCCGCCGTCGAACTGAACGCGCCGGCAACGAGCTGATAGTGGCCGTCGATCCGGCTGGCGATCCGGTGCACCGCGCCGATGAACGCGTCGCGCCCGCCGCCGACCATGCCCAGCCGGATCGGCCGTCCCGCAATGTCGTTCCTGCCTTCTATTGCCATTTCTTCCTCCCCTATGCGTGGGCTTCTGACGCCATCCAGCCACCCCTGACAAGCGCGATCGCTTCGGTGAAGACCTGCGCTTCGCTGTCGAACAGCGGGCGCCAGACCTTGGTCGCCGCGGCGATGTCGGGCAGCGCATGGCCGAACGCCTCGACCGTCAGCCAGCCGTCGTAACCGGCCCGTCGCAGGGCATCGAACGTCGCCTGGAAATCGATATGCCCCCGGCCCGGTGTGCCGCGATCGTTCTCGGAAATATGGACATGGGCCATCTGCCCGGCCGTCTCCGCGATGACACCGACCGGGTCCTTTTCCTCGATGTTGGCGTGGAACGTGTCGTAGAGATAGCCGTAATTGTCCGACCCGACGGCCCGGGCCAGCGCCGCCGCCCGCTCCGCCGTATTCAGCGCGTAGCACTCAAACCGGTTCAGCGGCTCAACTGCGATCGTCAGGCCCGAGCCGGCGGCATGGGCCGCCATTTCGGTGTGTGCCGCAACGATGCGATCCCACTCGGCATCCGTCGGTCCCGATCCGCTGAAGACGCCCAGCGGCTGGTAGAACGGACCGCACAGAACCTCGGCGCCAAGCGCGGCCGAACAGTCGACCAGCCATTTCAGATAGTCGACCCCGGCCCGACGGCATGCACGATCTCCGCTGATCGGATTGCGCGCCTCGTCCTGCACGATGGCGACCGCTGTGCGGTCGAGCTCCAGACCGTCCAGCCGGGACCCCAGGGCGGCGTAATGCGCCTCGTCGCCCTCGAACAGCGGCACCTCGATCCCGTCATAGCCGGCCGCCTTGAGCTGCTCGAGCACGACCGTGTCCGCATCGGTGACGTGGGTCGTCCAGAGCAGCAGGTTGAAGCCGATCTTCATCGGTCGATGCCCAGCATCTTGCGGTTTGCGGCATCGTCCGTGCCGGCGCCGGCAAAATCGTCGAAGGCATGCTCGGTCACGCGGATGATATGCGCATCGACGAAGGCCGCGCCCTCGCGCGCGCCGTCCTCGGGATGCTTGAGCGCGCATTCCCACTCGACGACGGCCCAGCCGTCGAAGTCGTATTGGGTCAGCTTGGAGAAGACCGCGCCGAAATCGACCTGCCCGTCGCCCAGCGAGCGGAACCGCCCTGCCCGATCCACCCAGGACTGGTAGCCGCCATAGACCCCTTGCCGACCGGTCGGGTTCAGTTCCGCGTCCTTGACGTGGAACATTTTGATGCGGTCGTGGTAGATGTCGATATTGTCGAGATAGTCGAGCGCCTGCAGCACATAGTGGCTCGGATCGTAGAGCATGTTGCAGCGCGCGTGGCCGCCAAGCCGCTCGAGAAACATCTCGAAGGTGATGCCGTCGTGCAAATCCTCGCCCGGATGGATTTCGTAACACACATCGACGCCGTTTTCCTCGGCGTGGTCGAGGATCGGCCGCCACCGCGCGGCCAGCTCGTCAAAGGCCGCTTCCACCAGTCCTGCCGGCCGTTGCGGCCAGGGATAGACATAGGGCCAGGCCAGCGCTCCCGAAAAGGTCACATGGGCGCCGATACCCATGTTCCGCGAGGCGGTGATCGCCTTCATGACCTGGTCGACCGCCCATTCCTGGCGCGCCTTGGGGTTGCCGTGCACGGATGGGTCGGCGAACCCGTCAAACGCGGCGTCATAGGCCGGATGAACCGCGACGAGCTGGCCCTGCAGATGTGTCGACAGTTCGGTGACCTCGACGCCGTTCTCCGCCCCCTTGCCCTTGAACTCGTCGCAATAATCCTTGCTTTCGGCCGCTTTTGCGAGGTCGAAAAGGCGCCCGTCCCAGCTCGGCACCTGCACACCCTTGTAGCCGCAATCGGCGGCCCATTTGGTGATCGCGTCCCATGAGTTGAACGGCGCCTCGTCGCCGGCGAACTGTGCCAGGAACAGCGCCGGGCCCTTGATGGTCTTCATGGTCTCTCCTCCCAATCGGTGAATCAAACAGGGCGCAAAGCGCAGCACCCGGCTTCAGGGCAAATTCTCCCTGAGAAAGATCTCGGTGCGGATGCGCTCCTGCGACGGGATCGTCTCCATCCCGTCCACATCCGCCTTCAGGACGCGCAGCGCCGATCGCACGATGTGACCCGGATTTTGTGCGATCACCGCATCGAACGTCCCGTCTGTCAGGGCCGCGCGCGTGCAGTCCGTCAATTCGTGGGCGATGACGGTGACGCGGTCGCTGGCACCGGCCGCGTTGAGAGCCTGCACCAGACCGTGATTGCCGGCGCCGGCCGAATAGACGCCGCCAATGCCGGGGTGTTTGGACAAAAGCCGCGTAACCTGCGCGGTCACAAGATCGCCCCGGTCGTGGCATTCGAGCGTCGGCATCACATGCAGATGGCCGAAGCGTTCCGCCATGACCTGATCGAAGCCCAGCCGCCGCTCGGCATGGTCACGCGCGCTCATCGAGCCGGCGATCACCAGCACCGATGCCGGCGCGACCGGCAGGAAGCGGCCGAGCAATGTTGCGGCGGTGCGCCCTGCGGCGACGTTGTTGATCCCGACGAAGTGCCCGCAGCCGGCCGTCGGCAGGTCGGCGACCACCGGCACGACGCTGGTGCCGGCCGCCATCACACGCCGCACCGCATCGCGCACGCGCGGCGTCTCCGGCGCCATCAGGGCAAGGCCGTCCGGCGGCGCCTTGGCGAGAGCCCCCATCATGTCGGCAAGCGCATGGGTATCGTCGGCCGGATAGGTGCGAACGGCGATCCGCATCCGCTCCATGGCAGTCATCGCCGCGCTTTCGGAGATCGCGGCCCGCAATTCGGACAGAAACTCCGTCGGCGCATCAGGCAGGATGCAGGTGAAGTCATAGGTGCGCTGGCGGGCGAGGTTCGCCGCCGCCACGTCGCGCACATAGCCGAGCTGTTCGATCGCGTCGTTGACCCGCGAAATCGTCTTTGCGCGCACACCGGGGCGCTTGTTGAGCACGCGATCCACCGTCGCAAGGCTCACGCCTGCCGTCTGCGCGATGTCGTGGACTGTCGGTCGCGACATGCGCCGCTGGCTCCCTCACCGTTTCCAATCCTTATGAGGTACGTCCATCGGCGGCGTCAATGCGCGCCGCAATATCGGTGCCGAACAACGGATTGGGCCAAAGCCTCGATTGCGCTTTGCCTCCCGTTCGCTAGAAGCGTCCAAAAAGACCGGAGCCCCCCCATGAGCGCGCTGTTTCCCCTTACCAAGACCGAAACCGCCTACCGCCGGCTGACCAGCGAGCATGTTCGCACCGACAGTTTCCGCGGGCAGGACATGCTGGTCGTCGAGCCCGAAGCGCTTCGGCTGCTTTCCGAAGCGGCATTCTCCGACATCAATCACCTTCTGCGCCCCGGCCATCTCAAGCAGCTTGCCTCGATCCTCGAGGACCCGGAGGCAACCGACAACGACCGGTTCGTCGCCTACGATCTTCTGAAGAACGCCAACATCGCCGCCGGCGGTATCCTGCCCATGTGCCAGGACACCGGGACTGCGATCATCATGGGCAAGAAGGGGCGGCGCGTCTGGACCGACGGCGGCGACGAGGACGCGATCGGACAGGGCGTCCGCGACGCTTACGAAAAGAAGAATTTGCGCTATTCGCAGCTCGCCCCGCTGTCGATGTTCGAGGAAAAGAACACGCGCAACAATCTGCCTGCCCAGGTCGATATCTATCAGGAGGGCGAGGAAGCCTACGAATTCCTGTTCGTCGCCAAGGGCGGCGGGTCCGCCAACAAGACGTTCCTTTATCAGGGCACGCCGTCGCTTCTGACCCATGACCGGATGATCGATTTCCTGAAAGACAAGATCCTGACGCTCGGCACCGCCGCCTGCCCGCCCTACCATCTGGCCATCGTCATCGGCGGCACCAGCGCCGAAATGAACCTGAAGACGGTCAAGCTCGCCTCGACCCGCTATCTGGATGGCCTGCCCACCGAAGGCTCCGAAGATGCGCACGCCTTCCGCGATCTCGCCATGGAAGCCGAGGTCCACAAGCTGACCCAGCAGATGGGCGTCGGCGCGCAATTCGGCGGCAAATATTTCTGCCACGATGTGCGCGTCATCCGCCTGCCCCGCCACGGCGCCTCGCTGCCGATCGGGCTGGGCGTATCGTGCTCGGCCGACCGACAGGCGCTCGGCCGGATCACGCGCGACGGCGTCTTTCTCGAGCAGCTCGAGACCAATCCGGCCCATTACATGCCAGACGTCGACGAAGGCGCACTTGGCGGCGCGGTGGTCGAGATCGACCTCGACCGGCCCATGACTCAGATTCTCAAGGAACTCAGCCAACACCCTGTCAAGACTCGGCTTTCGCTGACCGGCTCCATCATCGTCGCGCGCGATCTCGCCCACTCCAAGATCAGGGAGCGGCTCGAGAATGGCGAACCGATGCCCGACTATTTCAAGAACCATCCGATCTATTATGCCGGCCCCGCCAAGACGCCCGAAGGCTTTGCCTCGGGTTCGTTCGGACCGACCACGGCGGGCCGGATGGATTCCTATGTCGACCAGTTCCAGTCCTTCGGCGGCTCGATGGTGATGCTGGCCAAGGGCAACCGGTCGCGACAGGTGCGCGAGGCCTGCGCCCGCCATGGCGGCTTTTATCTCGGCTCGATCGGCGGCCCAGCGGCGCGCCTGGCACAGGACTGCATCAAGAAGGTCGAGGTCGTCGAATATCCCGAACTCGGCATGGAGGCGATCTGGCGCATCGAGGTCGAGGATTTCCCCGCCTTCATCGTCATCGACGACAAGGGCAACGACTTCTTCAAGGAACTCAATCTGGGCTGAGCGCGGCAGGCGCTCACCACATCGTCTTGGCGGCGCGGTCGGGCCAGGCTTCGTCATAGGCCCTGCCGTCGATACCGCCATCGGTCTGCGCGGCCAGCACATCGCCCGGCGTCGGAATGGAGCCGGGCTCGACATGGCGTGCCGGGTCCCACAGGCCGGCGCGCATCACGGCCCGGCCGCATTGGGTGTAGATTTCGCCGGTCGTGACGACGATGGCCGAGCGCGGCCGCTGGCCGTCCCGTTCCATCGAGGCCAGAAGATCGGCGTCCGCCGTCACGATCGCCGTGCCGTTCAGCCGCACCGTCGTCTTCGAGCCGGGAATGAGAAAGCAGAAGGCGACGCGCGGATCGCGCACGATGTTGCGCAGCGTGTCGATGCGGTTGTTGCCGCGCCGGTCGGGGATGATCAGCGTCTTGTCGTCATGGATGGTGAACGCGCCACCGGCTTCACCGCGCGGCGAACAATCGAGCCCCTCCGGCCCGACGCTGGCGAGCGTGAAAAAGGGCGAGGCTTCCAAGAGCCGGCGATACTCGGTCGTGATCCGCGTCGCCACCTTGGCGAGCGAAGCTTCGCCGGGCGTGCCGTACAGCGCCTCCAGTGCGGCAATGTCGTCAATGGCCTGAAACATCATCGACTCAGCCCCTTTTGTTCCAGTTCGGCGAGATAGGCCGCCCATTTCTCGTCCTTTTGGATGCCCAGCTCATTGAGGTAGCTCCAGGTGAAGATGCCGGTCGCGTGCATGTCGTCGAAGGTGATGCGCACGGCGTAATTGCCCACCGGCTCGACCTTCATGATCCCGACGTCTTTCTTGCCGCCGACCGTCTTGCGCTGTTCGGGGCTGTGGCCCTGCACCTCGGCCGAGGGCGACATGACACGCAGCATCTCTGCGGTCAGAGCGTGCCTGGCGCCATTGTCGAAGGTGACGGTCAACTGGCGCTTGTCCGCCGAAACGCGCAACTCGGTCGGCCAAACATCGCTCATCGGTGCTTCCGTTTCAGGCAAATCATGACACGTCCGGTCGGGATTTGCGCCCCATGGCCTTGACCGTCAAGAAAAACCGTCAAATTGTGGCCATCGCGGATTGGATACAAAACCCCGATGCACAACCACGCGCCCACCACGCAGCCCCCGATGATCGATCCGTTCGGCCGGACGGTGAGCTATCTGCGCGTATCGGTCACAGACCGTTGCGATTTCCGCTGCGTCTATTGCATGTCCGAGCAGATGACGTTTCTGCCAAAGAAGGACCTGCTGACGCTCGAGGAACTGGACCGCCTGTGCACGGTCTTCGTCGAAAAGGGTGTCCGCAAGCTGCGGCTCACCGGTGGCGAGCCTTTGGTGCGCAAGAACATCATGCATCTGGTGCGCCAGCTTTCGCGGCACCTTGAATCGGGCGCGCTCGAAGAACTGACGCTGACGACCAACGGCTCGCAACTCGCCCGCTTCGCCGGCGAACTGGTCGATTGCGGCATCAGGCGCGTCAATGTCTCGCTCGACACGCTCGATCCCGGCAAGTTCAAGACCGTCACCCGCTGGGGCGATCTCGATCGCGTTCTCGGCGGCATTGCCGCGGCCAAGGCGGCCGGCCTGCAGATCAAGATCAACGCGGTTGCCCTCAAGGGCGTCAACCATGCCGAGATCGTGCCGATGATGGAATGGGCCCATGGCGAAGGCTTCGATTTCACGCTGATCGAGACCATGCCGATGGGGGAAATCGACGAGGATCGCACCGACCAGTATCTACCCCTGTCGCAGGTGCGCGCCGATCTCGCGGACCGTTTCACGCTCACCGACATTCCCTACAAGACGGGCGGCCCTGCCCGCTATGTGGAAGTGGCCGAAACCGGCGGCCGCCTCGGCTTCATCACGCCGATGACCCACAATTTCTGCGAAAGCTGCAACCGCGTCCGGCTGACTTGCACCGGAACGCTCTACATGTGTCTGGGCCAGGAGGATGCAGCCGACCTGCGCGAACCGCTGCGCCGGTCCGAGGGCAACGAACTGGTCGGCGCCGCCATCGACGAGGCCATCGGCCGCAAGCCCAAGGGCCACGACTTCGTCATCGACCGCACGACCCGCAAACCGTCCGTCGGTCGCCACATGAGCATGACCGGTGGCTAGGATCGCCACCGCGGCGCTGGCAGCCGGCTTGGCGGTGGCCGCCGGCGGCCTCGCCCTCGCCGACCAACTGGCCTATGAAAATGCCCGGTTCGGCACCCGCTTCGCGCTGCCCGCGCACATGTTCACCGCCATCGATCCGCCGCCCGCCAACAGTGATGGTATCCGGTTTTTGTCCGACGATGGAGCGGCGCTCAGCATCTTCGGCCAGTTCAATGTCTTCAACGAAACGCCGGAGCAGATGCGCCAGCGGCTCGCCGGCTATCGGGCCGAAAACGCGGAAAGCGTTACCTATGAAGCGGCGGGCGACGACTGGCTGGTGCTGTCCGGCTTTTCCGGAACCGACATCTACTATGAGCGCTACGAGTTCGGCCGGGACGCGGTCGTCCACGGCGCGGTCCTGGTCCATCCGGCAGCCGACAAGGCGCGGTATCAGCGCCTCGTCGAGAGCTTTGCCGAAAGGCTGACCGGACCATGACCGGCATCGCCGTGGTCGGCGCTGGCATTTCCGGCCTTTCGACCGCCTGGGCGCTGGCAAAACACGGCGTCGATGTCACGCTTTACGAGCAAGGGCCCATCCCCAATCAGCTGTCCGCCTCCGGTGACGAACACCGCATCATCCGGCGCGCCTATGGCGGCCAGACGGGCTATGCACGGCGGATCGACGAGGCCTATGACGCATGGAACGAGCTTTTCGACGATTTGGGCGAAAACCACCTGATCGAAAACGGCTTTCTGATCGTCTCGCGCGAACCTGGCGACGAGGCCGAGCAATACCGGGACGGTCTTCTGGCTGGCGGCTACCCGCTGGATGTGCTCAGTCCGGCAGCGGCAGCCGACCGGTTCGGTTTCCTCGAGCCTGGAACTTTCCGTTACGCCGGTTTCAGCCCCGAGGGTGGTGCGCTTTTGTGTCAGAAGATCGGTGCCGGGATCGGCGACTGGCTGCGCGCCAAAGGCGTGACCGTCCGCGACAACACCAAGGTGACGGCCATCGACGGCACCGCGGGTACGGTGACCACGGAAGGCGGCGAAACCAAACGTTATGACCGCGTCATCGTCACCGCGGGCGCCTGGGTGCTCGCTCTGGTGCCGCATCTGGCCGAACGGCTGACTACATACCGGACCGCTGTCGCCTACTTCACCCCGCCGCCCGATCTCGCACCAGCATGGGAAAATGCACCCGTGCTGCTCGACATGGGCGGCGATTCCGACGGCTACGGCATCCCGCCGATCGGCGGCTCCGGCCTCAAGCTGGGCACGGGCAACCACAAGCGAAAATCCGGCCCCGATGAGGATCGCGACCCGGGCAGTGACGAAGCCGACGCGATACGGCGCTGGTTTTCCCCGCCATTGGCCCGGCTCGACGAATACACACACGAGAAGACGGTCACATGCGCCTACACGTTCACATCCGACGAGCGCTTTGCCCTTCACCGGGAAGAACGGCTCTGGGTCGTCTCGGCCTGCTCGGGCCATGGCTACAAGTTCGGCGCGGCCATCGGCCGGCGCGTTGCGCGCCATGTGACCGCCAACGATGAAAACGCGCTGGTGGCCTGGCTTGAGGCCCGCGATTGAGCCGGTGACAAGATCGGCGCTGTTCACCGGCACACCGCCATGATAGGCCGATGGCGGTCGGGTTCACCGGCCGTTTTCGTTAGAGATCGAAAGCACCGGGTCACCATGCCTTTGTCGGCGAACATAAGGGGCTGCCTTTTCATGTCCCTGTCGATGGCCGCATTTACCATCAATGACACACTCACCAAGTCCGTCATGGACACGCTGAACACCGGACAGATCATGTTCGTCCGCGGTGCGGTCATCCTCGCCGGCCTCCTCGTCTATCTGCGCGTCCTGCGTCGGCCGATCCTGGCAAAGGGCATGTTCTCGGCGCCGGTCATCGTCAGGACCGGAGGCGAGTTGGCGATGACGGTACTGTTTCTCGGCGCACTGGCGCATCTGCCGCTTGCCAACGCAACCGCGGTCCTGCAGGCGGTGCCGCTGGCGGTCGCATTGGGCGCCGCGCTCTACCTTGGCGAGCGCGTCGGGTGGCGACGGTGGACCGCAATTCTGATCGGTTTTTGCGGTGTCCTTCTGATCGTTCGCCCGGGCCTTGCCGGCTTCAACGCCTACACGTTGATGGTGGTCGGAGCGGTGATTTTCGCGGCGGTGCGCGATCTTGCAACGCGCCGGATCGTCGCGACGGTGCCATCGCTCACCATTTCGGCGCTGACCGCATTGACGGTCACGCTGACCGGCCTTGTGCTGATCGTTCCCCTTGGCGGCTGGACGCCGATGGACGCGTCCGTCGTCGTGATCTTGATGGCCGCCGCCGGCTTTCTGTTCGCCGGATACCTTTTCATCGTCATGGCCATGCGGGAGGGCGACATCGGCTTTGTCGCGCCGTTCCGCTACACGGCGCTTCTCTGGGCGCTTATTCTCGGCCTGGCGTTCTTCGGCGAGTTCCCCGACACGGCAACCCTTGCGGGCGCGGCGATCGTCGTCGGCACCGGCATCTATACGCTCTATCGGGAAAGCCGGCCCGGCCGGGCACGGCACGCCGCTCGGCGCCCGGCCGCTGCATCGAGACCGGCGCCGGGTGCCTGAGATGTCCGCGCCCCTGCCCTTGCCGGCCCCCGTTACGCGCAACCTCACCGCCATCGCGACGATGACGCTGGCGATGGCTCTGTTCGCGCTTGACGACAGCTTCATCAAGCTGGCCGCAGCCGAAATCAATGTCGGGCAGGTCATCCTGTTGCAGACGCTGATCGCGGTGGTGGTGTTCGCCATTCTCACCAGGCTTTCGGGCGATGCCTTGTGGAGCCGCGCCTTCCTCGCGCGCCCGGTCGTCCTGCGCAACACCGGCGAGGTGCTCGGTGTCGTCTGCTTCGTCACCGCGCTCGCGCTGATGCCGCTTTCGACCGCCTCGGCCATCCTGCAGGCACAGCCGCTGGTCGTCACGCTCGGCGCCGCGCTTTTCCTGGGCGAGAAAGTCGGCTGGCGCCGATGGACCGCCGTCATGATCGGCTTTTTCGGAGTGCTGATCATCATCCGGCCCGGGATGGCGGGGTTCACGCCGGCAGCGCTTCTGGCGGTCGGCGCGGTGATCGGGCTCGCGGTGCGCGATCTGGCCACGCGTCGCGTGGAGACCGGCATCAGCACGATGCAGCTGTCGACCTTTGCGAGCGTCGTCATCCTGCCGCCCGCCTTCGTCATGATGATGGCCTATGGCGGCTGGTCGCCGATGAGTTTTCAGACAACGCTTTATGTCATCGGCGCCGCGATGTCCGGCATGGGGGCCTACTACGCGATCACATTGTCGCTGCGCATCGGCGAACTGTCCGTCATCGCGCCGTTCCGCTATTCGAGACTGCTGTTCGCGTTGATCCTGGGCTTTTTCCTGTTCGGTGAACAACCCGACCTGCCCATGCTGACCGGTTCGGCGTTGATCATCGGCACAGGCATCTACGCCTTCTATCGCGAGCGTTCGCAGGCGCGGCAGCCGGCGACCGGGCCCCGGAACGAAGCCGCGCGCGAGCCTTAACCCCGGTTGCGCAACCGGTCGAGCTCGGCCTTTTCGCCCTCGATCTCCGAGCGCACGAACGCCCGGAACGCCTCGATCTTCGGCTCGGCGGTCATTTCCGGCAGGCAGCAGAAGTAGAAGCTTGCATTGGACGGCAGCACCAGATCGAACGGCGCGACGAGCCGGCCGGCGCGAATGTCACGGGCGGCCAGCGTCAGCCGGCCGAGCACGATGCCTGCCTGGTCGACCGCAGCCTCGATGGCGTGGTCGGCATGGCTGAAGCGCGCGCCGCGCGATGCATCGATGCCATGGGCACCGGCATGTTTGAGCCAGGTCGCCCAGGTCACCGCCTTGGGCAAAAACGACGCCGAATCATCGTGCAGCAGGGTCATCGACGCCAGGTCCGTCAGTGACATGGCGCCTCCGAACCGCTGTTCCAGCAGCATCGGGCTGATCAGCGGCGTCGCCGCATCTTCCGCCAGCGGCTCCACGCGCAGCCCCGGATAATTGCCGCCGCCGAACCGGATCGCCACGTCGATCGGGTCCTTTCTCAGATCCGACAGGTTCAGATTGGCCGCGATGCGAAACTCGATGTCCGGATGCAGTTCCAGAAAGCGGTGAATACGCGGCGACAGCCACTTGGCGGCAAAGGCCGGCCCGGTCGACACGGTCAGCACATGGTCGGGCGTTGCGGGCCTGAGCTGGTTCATCGCCCCGTGCAGCCGCTCGAACCCGTCCTGAACGAACGGCGCGAAACGGGCGCCCTCCTCGGTCAGCACCACGCGGCGGTTGAGGCGCCGGAACAGCGCAATGTGCAGATGCTCCTCCAGTTGCCTGATCTGGAACGACAGCGCCGAAGGCGTGACGTTCAACTCCTCGGCTGCCTTCTGAAAGCTCAGATGGCGGGATGCGGCATCGAACGCCCGCAGGGCATTGAGCGGTGGAAGACGGCGCGTCACATCAGTTTTCCTTATGCGAACCGTCAGAAGTTCGCGTTTGTCGGGCCGTTTGGCAACAGTTATTTCAATCTCGACCCAAGGCCGATCAGCCGACCCCCGCACAAGGAACCGCACCGATGACCCACACCGACCCTTTCGATCGCGACATCGACTATGACCGCGCCAGACGGTTTGCCGCCCTTGAGCGCAGGATGGCCATCGATGCTCTGGTTCGCCGCGTGTTCCGCCTTGGACGCCGGCAGGCACAGCAACGTTGAACGGGCCGGCGGCGGATGCGCGCCGCCGGCTTCTCTTGACGGGCAATTCGGAGTAAGGACACGCGTCCAACCACCGGTTTCCCCGATGTCGCAAGCAATCCTGTCCAGGCCGGGCACCGTCAGGCCGCTGCTCGTAACGCTCGTCGTTCTGGCGGCGGTCAGCCCGCTTGCGATCAACATGTTCGTACCCTCCATGCCCTCGATCGCCGACGATTTCGGCGCCCCCTATCCGACGGTGCAACTCGGACTGTCGCTCTACCTGATCTTCATGGCGCTGCTGCAACTCGTCGCCGGCCCGGTTTCCGACCGGATCGGCCGGCGCCCCGTCCTGATCGCCGGCATGACGGTCTTCATCATCGGCTCGGTCGTTTGCATGCTGGCGCCCAATGTCGAGGTCTTCCTGTTCGGCCGCGTCGTCCAGACGGCCAGCGCCGTCGGGCTGGTGCTTTCAAGGACCATCATCCGCGACATCTATCCGCGCGAGAAATCGGCGTCGATGATCGGCTATGTCGTCATGGGAATGGCGGTGGCCCCGATGATCGCGCCCGCCATCGGCGGCCTTGCCGACGAAATGGCCGGCTGGCGCGCCGCATTCGTGCTGCTGACCCTGTTCGGCGCGGTCGCGCTTGCCGCAACCGTGATCTTCCTGCCGGAGACGAACACAAGCGAGGGGCAAACCGCCCGCACGCAGATCGCCACATGGGGCGTGTTGGCCCGCATGCCCGCTTTCTGGCTCTATGCGATGACCCCGACACTCGCATCGATGGTCTTTTTCGGTTTTCTGGGGGGCGGGCCGGCGGTTTCCGATGCGTTTCTGGGCCAGACACCGTTCGAGTACGGGCTGTGGTTCTCGCTGTGCGCGCTTGGCTATCTGATCGGCAACTTCCTGTCGGGACGATTTTCGCAGCTGCGCGGCATCGAGGCGATGATCCGCGACGGCTCCTTCGTCACGCTGGGCAGCACGCTGACGCTGCTGGTCCTGTTCGCCCTGGGCCTGGACCACCCCGCGGCGCTGTTCATCCCGATCGCCTTGACCGGCATCGGCAACGGGCTTGTGCTGCCGAACGCCACCGCCGCGGTCATCAGCCTCAAACCGGAAGCCTCGGGCGCCGCATCGGGCCTTCAGGGTGCCCTGCAGATCGGCTGCGGAGCGATCGCATCGATCATCGGCGCCTACGCCGCGCGCGGCGGGGAGTCGCCCGTCGGGCTTGCCGTGGCGCTCACCGCGATGGCACTGGTCGCCCTCGCGGTCGCCCTGATCGCGATCCGTTCGCCCAGCGACGCCGATTGACGGTTTTCACGTTGAGCCGACACGCGCGCTTGGGCATTATCGCGACATGACAGCCAACGCCGCTCCAACGCCGGAAGCCGCATATCTGGTCGCGCCCGACCCCGATGCCGACGGCCTGTCGGCGGAGGTCTCGGGTCATGACCAGGACGGCAACCCGATGACGACGCGGGTCGTCACCGAGCGCCCGCTGACGCTCTATCTGAACCGGCAGGAAATCGTCACCATGATGACGATCGGTGATCATCCCGACCTCCTCGCGGTGGGCTATCTGATCAACCAGAACATGCTGCGGCCCGACGACGAGATCACCGCGATCGACCATGACGACGATCTGGACGTGGTGGTCGTGCGCACGGCCCGCGCGACCGACTATGAGTCGGTGCTGCAAAAGAAGGTGCGCACGTCCGGTTGCGCCCAGGGAACCGTGTTCGGCGACGTGATGGAAGGGTTCGACGCAACGGCCCTGCCCGCCGGCGCCGTCCTGCGCACATCGTGGCTGCACGGATTGACGAAAACCATCAACACCACGCCCAGCCTCTATCTCGCGGCAGGGGCGATCCATGGATGCGTGCTGTGCGAACGCGACCGGCCGCTGGTCTACATGGAGGATGTCGGCCGCCACAATGCCGTCGACAAGATCGCCGGCTGGATGCGGCTCAACGGCGTGGCTGGCGCCGACAAGATTTTCTACACGACCGGCCGGCTGACCTCGGAAATGGTGATCAAGACCGTCATGATGGGTATTCCGGTCCTGGTATCGCGGTCGGGTTTCACTGCTTGGGGCGTCGAACTGGCGCGGCAGGCCGGCCTCACCCTGATCGGCCGCGCCCGCGGCAAGCGCTTCACGGTTCTTTCCGGCCATGAACGGATTGTCCGCGACATGGACTGGTCGAAGGTGGCCGACGAGACGCCCGACATGCGGCGCAAGGGCGCGGGCGATGACTGATACGACCCCGCAAACAGACGCAATCCTCGGCGTCGTGCTCGCCGGCGGCCAGTCAAGCCGCATGGGCGGCACCGACAAGGCGCTGATCGCGCTCGCCGGCAAGCTCCTGATCGCCCATGTCGCCGAACGCCTTGCGCCCCAGGTCGGCGCCATGGCGGTCAACGCCAATGGCGATGCCGCGCGTTTCGACAGGCTGGGCCTGCCGGTCTTTGCCGACACGATCGGCGGCCATGCCGGCCCGCTCGCCGGCGTGCTCGCAGCCATGCGCTTTGCCAGCGATCGCGGTGCGGCATTCACCCATGTCGCCACGGCGGCGACCGACACGCCATTCTTTCCAACCGATCTGGTGACGCGTCTGGCGGCCGCCGCGACAACGCCCGACACGATCGCAATGGCGGCTTCCGACGGCAATCGCCATCCGGTATTCGCGCTCTGGCCGACCGGCTTGGCCGGCGATCTCGAGCGCTGGCTGGCCGGGACGGACACGTTCAAGGTGATGGCGTGGGCAAAGCGTCACCGGTTCGCGCCGGTCGAATTCGGGCCTGGGGCCCATGGCGCCGATCCGTTCTTCAACATCAACACGCCCGAAGACCTGACCGCCGCCGAACGCCAGGCACAAGCGGCGCTTGTGTGATGGCTGACAGTCCGCCCCGCTTCGGTATTGTCGGCTGGAAGAATTCCGGCAAGACGACCATGACCGCCAACCTGACACGCGAACTGATCGATCGTGGTCACCGGGTCGCGACCGTCAAGCGCGCGCACGGCGCCTTCGACATCGACCGGCCCGGCACCGACAGCCACACCCATCGCCAGGCCGGGGCGCAAGAGGTGGCGATCGTGTCATCCGCCCGCTGGGCGCTGATACACGAGAACAGGCCGGACGAGGCCGAAGTGCCGCTCGACGATATCATCGCACGGCTTTCGCCCTGCGACATCGTTCTGGTCGAAGGCTTCAAGGGCGCGCCTCACCCCAAGATCGAGCTGCGCGCGAACCATGACAAAGCGCGCCCTGCCCTCGCCGACGCCGATCCGGCGGTCGTCGCGGTCGCCTGCGACGACGCGCCGGGCGATGTGGCGCCGGACGGAAAGCCGGTCTTCCGGCGCGACCAGACCGAAGCGATCGCGACACTGGTCGAGCAGGTCTGCGGTCTCGGCACAGGGACCGAACGGCGGTCCGCGTCATGAGCGCAGGCCGGCAGACACTGATCGACGACTGTTTCGTCAATGACGGCCAGCGCATGCGTCATGACGATGTGCTCTCCTTGCTGGCCAACCGCCTCGAACCGGTGACCGGCACGACGACGGTATCGGTGGTCGGCGCGCAGGGCCGTATCGTGGCCGTGCCGGTCACCGCACCGGGTCCGGTGCCGCGCAGCGACAATGCCGCAGTCGATGGTTACGCGTTCGCTCACGCCGCCTATCTGAAAGGCCCGGACCGCCTGCCGGTTGCCGGACGGATTGCCGCCGGCGCGACCGCGACCGGACCGGTGCCGCCGGGCCGTTGCGTGCGCATCTTCACCGGCGCGCCGATGCCAGCCGGCACCGACACCGTGGCGATGCAGGAGGACTGCACCGTTCTTCAAGACGGTGCGATCGCGGTGCCCGCTGGCCTGAAGGCCGGCGCGAACCGGCGCCGGGCAGGCGAGGACTTCATGCCGGGCGATCCCGTCGTCCGCGACGGCCAGACGCTGCGCCCGCAGGACCTGGCAGCGCTGGCCGCGACGGGGCACGGGACGGTCTCGGTTCGCAAAAGGTTGCGCATTGCCATCCTGTCGACCGGCGACGAAATCGTACCTGCCGGTGCCGAGGCAGGTGCGGCGCAGGTTCATGATGCCAACCGGCCCATGCTGCTGGCGCTTGCCGGCCAGGCCGCGACGACGGTCACCGACCTTGGTCATGTCGGCGACGATGCCGACGCGCTGCGCGAGACGCTGGCGACAGCGGCCGCAGATCATGACCTGATCATCACGTCCGGCGGCGCCTCGCTTGGCGACGAGGACCATATGCTCGCAGTGCTCGATGAACTTGGAAAACGCCATCTGTGGCAGATCGCCATCAAGCCGGGCCGGCCGATGATGTTCGGCCAGATCGGCGATACGGTCGTCCTCGGCCTTCCGGGCAATCCGGTCGCCGTGCTCGTCTGCTTTCTGCTTTATGCGCGCGCGGTGATCGGCCATCTGGCCGGCGCATCGGTGACGCCGCCGGTCGCCTATACGCTGCCTGCCGCCTTTGCCATTGACCGGAAGAAGACGGGCCGCCGCGAATTTCTTCGCGGCTGGACCGAAGCCGACCCGGAAACCGGCGTGCTGAACGCACACAAGTTCCCGCGTGACGGCTCCGGACTGGTCTCCGGCCTGCAGGCGGCGTACGGGCTGATCGACCTGCCCGAACATGTCGATGCGGTTGCGCCGGGCGACCCGGTGCGCTTTATCCCGTTTGCGGAGATGGGGCTGATGCCCGGCTGGAGCGGGGACGGATGACGACGGACGAGACGGCAGAACACACCGCTGGGGCGGCGCCGGAGGAACGCCCCTCCGGCCCGCCGCACAGCGCCGCCAGGCGGCCGCTGCCGGCCGACCGCTTCGGCGGCTATGCGCCGCTCTCGGTCGCGCTTCATTGGCTCAGCGTCCTGTTTGCCGCCGCACTCCTGCTCACGGCATGGCTCGACCGACCCGAACTGCACGGTTTGGCGGGCCTTGTGGCGGCACCCTTCCTGCTGGTCCATACGCTGCGACGCCTCAAACGGGGTTTTCCCCGCGCGCCGGACGAGCCGGCCATCCTGTCCTTTGCTGCGCGTCTGGCGATCATCGCGATGCTGCTGGCCATGCTCGTCATCGTCCTGTCGGGGCTCTCGATCGTCTTGTCGTCAGACCGCATCTCCGGCCTCGCCGGCTCCGACATCGTCCTGCCATGGGCGCCCGGACCGGCACTGACGGCGGCGGCCCATGCGTGGCACGGAGCTGCCGCGCAGCTGTTCCTTGCCGCCGCAGGCCTGCATCTTCTGGCAGCGCTCAGCTATGGCGCCCGCCGCATGCATGCGGTGACGAGCCGCATCGTGCGCCCGGTCCCGGGCGGGCGCTGAAGCGGCGGCCTGCTGACACCCAGCTGTCATTTTTGGTTGCAAAGCGCTTTGGTCTCATGGAACATCGCCGCCAATGCCCATCAGGGAGGTGGGCGTTCAACCGCCCGCGCAAGCCGCGGGCCACGCGTGACATGAGGTATTCCATGCGTTTGAGCACAACAATTCTGGCCGCGGCCACGACCCTTGCCCTTTCGGTCGGCGCCGCCCAGGCCCAGGACGCCATGCAGATCAAGATCGGCACCGAAGGCGCCTACCCGCCCTTCAACAATCTCGAGGCGGACGGCTCGCTCGTCGGTTTCGACATCGACATCGCAAAGGCGCTCTGCGAGGAAATGGGCGCCGAGTGCGAATTCGTCACCCAGGACTGGGATGGCATCATTCCGGCTTTGGTGGCCGGCAAGTTCGACGCAATCATCGCGTCCATGTCGATCACCGAAGAGCGCAAGCAGACTGTCGACTTCACCGAGAAGTACTACAACACCCCGCCGGCGATCGCCGTCCCGAAGGATTCCGACATCACGGCTGCGACCGACGAGGGCCTTGCCGGCCGCACGATCGGCGCCCAGTCGGCGACGACGCACTCCAACTATGCCGAAGAGAAGTTGTCCTCGGCCGATCTGCGGCTCTATCCGACGCCCGACGAGTACAAGCTCGACATCGCCTCGGGCCGTATCGATGCGGTCATCGACGATGTCGTCGTGCTGTCCGAGTGGCTGGCCACCGACGAAGGCCAGTGCTGCAAGATCCTCGACACGCTGACGCCGGACCCGGTGATCAACGGCGAAGGCGCCGGCATCGCCATCCGCAAGGGCGAGGACGAACTGCGCGAGGCCTTCAACGCGGCGATCCAGGCGATCCGTGCGAACGGCGTCTACGAGCAGATCAACAACAAGTATTTCGAGTTCGACGTTTATGGCGGCTGATCGCGTCGTGATACATTGAGCATTGAGCGAAAAGCGGCGGGGACGGCCTGTCTCCGCCCTTTTCACATCCGCATTCCTCCGACGATGGATGGCTGATGGACGCGCTGGGCTATCTGGCATTCGGCGACACCGGCTGGAGCGACGAGATCGCACGCGGCGTGCTTGTCACTGCTTCACTGGCCTTGGTCACCCTGCCCGTCGGCCTTGCGATCGGCTTTCTTCTTGCCCTTGCAAAGCAGTCCCGCGAAGAGACGCTGCGGCTGGCCGCCGACATCTACACGACGATCTTTCGCGGCCTCCCCGAACTGCTGACCATCTTCATGGTCTATTACGGCATGCAGATCGGCATACGGCAGGCATCGCTCGCGCTCGGCTTCGAGGGCGGCTTCGAGATCAACGCCTTCGTCGCTGGAATGATCGCGCTGGCCGTCGTCTTTTCGTCGTTTGCGAGCGAGGTGTTCCTGTCCGCCTTTCGCGCCATTCCCCACGGCCAGTACGAGGCCGGTGATGCGCTCGGCCTGACGCGCTGGCAGACCATGCGCACGATCATAGCGCCGCAGCTCGTCCGCATCGCCCTGCCCGGCTTGGGTAATCTGTGGCTCATCTTGCTCAAGGACACGGCCTACATCTCGGTAATCGGGCTTTCAGACATCATGCGCCAGGCCGGCATTGCCGCGCGCGTGACCAAAGAGGCGTTCCTGTTCTTTGGCATCGCCTGCCTGCTCTATCTGGTGCTCGCGATCCTCTCCTCGATCGTCTTTTCGCGCATCGAGCGCGCCGCCCGGCGTTCGGAGGTCCGCGCGTGACCGCCATCGTCCGCCAGACGCTGCTGGCGCCGCAGCCCGCCCCGCCGGATCTGGCCAAGCAGTGGACGCGCACGCGCATTGTCGGCCATGGTCTGATGGCCGTTTGGATATTGGCGGGCCTCGGCATGGTCTGGTGGCTGATCGGCGCGTGGAACATCGAGTTCGTCGACCGCTATCTGCCGCGCTACCTGGCCGGCCTGTGGACGACGCTCTCGCTGGTCGCGATCTCCATCGTGCTCGGCGCGGCACTGTCGCTGCCGCTGGCCTTCATGCGCATGTCGGACAACCCGGTCCTGGGAGGCATCGCCTATGGCTATGTCTATTTCTTTCGCGGTACGCCGCTGCTCGCCCAGCTCTTCCTGATCTACTACGGCTTCGGCACGTTCCGCGCCGAACTGGAAGCGGTGGGCCTGTGGTGGTTCTTCCGCGATGCATGGAACTGCGCTCTGTTTGCCTTCACGCTCAACACCGCCGCCTATCAGGCCGAAATCCTGCGCGGCGCGATCGAAAGCGTGAAGCCCGGACAGTGGGAGGGCGGCGCGGCACTCGGCCTGCGCCCGCTTCAGACGTTCCGCAAGATTGTCCTGCCGCAGGCGATGATCGTCGCCCTGCGCCCCTATGGCAACGAGATCATCCTGATGATCAAGGGATCGGCGGTCGTCGCGCTGATCACAGTGTTCGATCTGATGGCCGTCACGCGACGCGCCTTTTCCAACACGTTCGACTTCCAGACCTATATCTGGGCAGCGGTCTTTTATCTGGTGATCGTCGAGACCGTCCGCATCCTGTGGAACCGGCTGGAAAAGCGTCTGACACGCCACCAACAGCGCTGAATCGGCCTGTGAAGCGCCGGAATCGGATTGTCAGCGCGTCCGGGCAACCGATTCCCATATCGGGGTTTTCCGCCTTTGCGACGGGGTGGATCGGCGCTATGTCGGCATCGGACCATTCAGGGAGACGCACACATGGCCAAAGCGGCATTCATCGGGCTCGGCGTGATGGGCTATCACATGGCGGCGCATCTGAAGAACCGCGGCGGCCATGAAGTGACCGTTTACAACCGCACCGCCGCCAAGGCCGATGCGTGGGTTGCCGAACATGGCGGCGCTGGGGCCGATACTCCAGCGGGTGCCGCCGCCGATGCCGATTTCGTCTTTGCCTGTGTCGGCAATGACGATGATTTGCGCGCGGTGACGACGGGCGCCGATGGCGCCTTTGCGGCCATGAAAAAGGGCGCGATCTTCATCGACAACACCACCGCTTCGGCCGCCGTAGCGCGAGAACTGGACGATACGGCGAAAGCCGCCGGTTTCGGCTTCATCGACGCGCCGGTGTCAGGCGGCGAAGCGGGCGCGGTCAATGGGGCACTGACCGTCATGTGCGGCGGCGATCCCGGCGTGTTCGACCGGGCCAAGCCCGTTATCGAGAGCTACGCCAAGATGGTCGGACTGATGGGTCCGGCCGGCAGCGGGCAACTCACCAAGATGGTCAACCAGATCTGTATCGCGGGCCTCGTTCAGGGCCTGTCGGAAGGCATCCATTTCGCCAAGCGCGCAGGGCTCGATGTCGAAGCGGTCATCGACGTCATATCCAAGGGCGCGGCCGGCTCCTGGCAGATGGAAAACCGCCACAAGACGATGGACGCCGGCGAGTATGATCACGGCTTCGCCGTCGACTGGATGCGCAAGGACCTGGAAATCGTTCTGTCCGAGGCCGACCGCAACGGCGCCGGCCTGCCGGTCACCGCGCTGGTCGACCAGTTCTACAAGGACGTGCAGAACATGGGCGGCAGGCGCTGGGACACCTCGTCCCTGCTCGCCCGGCTCGAAAGGATCGCCGGAGACCGCTGACCGCTGGTCAAACGGGCAGATAGTCGAGCGGCATTTCGGTGGTGAACTTGATCTGCTCCATGGCAAAGACCGACGACACGTCGCGGATCTCGATCTTCTCGATCAGCCGCTTGTAGAACGCGTCATAGGCTGGAATGTCCGGCACGACGACGCGCAGCAGATAATCGACATCGCCGCTCATCCGGTAGAATTCGACCACTTCGGGAAACTGGCTGATCACCTCCGAGAAGCGCTTGAGCCATTCGGTCGAATGCGAATTGGTGCGGATCGAGACGAAGACGGTCACGCGCGCATTGACCTTCTCCGGATTGAGGATCGCCACGCGCCGCTCGATGACGCCCTCCTCCTCGAGCTTCTGGATGCGGCGCCAGCAGGGTGTCGTCGAAAGACCCACGCGCTTGGCGATGTCGGCGACGGCGATGGTCGAGTCTTCCTGAAGCAGGCGCAGGATCTTCCGGTCGAGACGGTCCATTCTTGGGAAATCTTTCTAATCTGGAGCGATACCGCTAGATAGAATAGAAAAATCACCCACGCAAGCCGGTCAGATGAGGTTCCGGACCGCTGCGCGCAGGACCGGCAGAAGGTCGGACTCGAACCATGGATTGCGCTTCAGCCAGCCCGTATTGCGCCAGGAGGGATGCGGCGTCGGAATGACCCGCCAAGGCCGGCCCGGCACGCTCTCATAGTCCCGCCAGGCCGCTACGGTCTCTGTCAGTGTCTTGCGCCGTGCCTTGCCGAGGTGAAATGCCTGGGCGTACTGGCCGATGGCGATCACGAGTTCCACCTGCGCCATCGCCGCGAACAGATCGCCATGCCATGCGCGCGCGCACTCCTTGCGTGGAGGCAGGTCGCCGCCCTTGGCGTCGAGGCCGGGAAAGCAGAACCCCATCGGCACGATGGCGATCCTGCTGGCGTCATAGAAGGTCGCTTCATCGACCGCCAGCCAGGCGCGCAGCCGGTCGCCGGACGGATCGGTGAACGGCCGGCCCGATGCATGCACCCGCGTGCCAGGCGCCTGGCCGCAAATGACGATACGCGCCGTCGGCGAGACGACACACACCGGACGGGGCTCGTGCGGCAGGGGCGTGCCCTCGGGCGTGTCGCGACAAATACGGCAGGCCGTGATCGCGCGCGTCAGTTCATTCAGCGTCGTGCTATTCATAATGCCCTCCCCAGCCGGTCCAGGACTGGAGCCGGCGGAGCGCCGCGCCAAGCCCTGCGCGTGGCACGGCTTTCTCGTCCAGCGCCGCCCTTTGCCGGCGCCAATCGGCAGGCCGCTCGAACCGCCAGGCCCACATGCCGCGCCGTTCCGCCCGCGCCGCACGCTCCAGCCCGTCATGATCGCCATACGCCACGGCCCAGCCATCTTGCACCATCGCGGCGTTCAGCGACGACCGGCCGGCCCCGGTTCGGCAGATGCCCAGAAAGCGGCCAAAGCGGTCGGCGTCGTGGCCGGCGCAGCCGACCTCGCCACCATCGATCAACATCGCCAGATGGCGCGCCGCAAGGCGGCCGCAGGGACGTTCGGCGCCCTCGCCATCGGTGCAGGATTGGCCCATTTCGGGCGCGTCGATGCCACGCAGGCGCACCCGCTCGCCCGCAACGATCAGCGTATCGCCATCGACAATCCGCGCAACGCCGCTCAGGTCGCGGCTGTTCCATGTCTGCAGCAGCGCCGCCAACCCCGCCACCGCCATGATGAAAAGGGCTGCGATCAGAAAGTCCTTGCCGCGGCGCGCACGCCCGCCCCGGCGCCTCATCGGTGCAAGCCTCCGCCCCGGGCCATGAAGGGAGTTTTAACAATTGGGAAAGTATGTTCCGCAGGGTGTTTGTCGCGCAGCGGCGCACCACAGGCACAACGCGAGACGTCCAGCCCCTCCATGATCGCAACCGACCAGCCCGACAAGACGATCGTCGACCGCCGCAAGTCGGGGCACAACCAGGAATTGCGCCGGACGTTGCGCAGGACGCGCGACAAGCTGGCCCTGAGCGGGCGCCCGGATCGCGAATTCGCGCTGGAACTTCTGGGCCTGCATGCCAACGCGCTGATCTCGTCGATCGCTGCGGTTCCGCTTCTCATCATCCTGACGGCGTTCGCCGCGTTTTCGACCGGCTTCGACAATAAGATTGTGCTCTGGGCGATCATTGCCAACTTTCTTTATGTTGCGATGGGCGTCCTGTCCAAGCGCTTCCTGCGCCAAAAGAGCGATGCCGATCCAAGGCGCTGGCGTCTGATCTTTCTGGCGGCCCACGCCGTGACGGGTTTCTCCTGGACCTATTTTGCGGTCAGCGCATGCGCGAACTGCGGAACCGATACGGCGCTGTTCTTCAAGGCGTCGGTCCTGTTGATCGCCATCGCCGCCACGGCCACCATCTGCTACGCCATCCGCTTTTCCATCCTTGCGGCCTTCACCGTGCCCGTCATGGTGTTCGCCGCCCTCAATTTTGATACTTCACCCAACACGATGCTCGCGATCGCCATGCCGTTCTGCGCGCTTCTGTTCTTCAGCTTCGTGGCCGAAAGGCTGCAAAAATCGACCATAGCCTCGATAGCCTACCGGGCCGAGAACGTCGCCTTGATCGCCGAACTGGAGGTGGCCAAGTCGATCTCCGACGAGGCCCGGCGCCGCGCCGAGGAAGCCAATCTGGCCAAATCGCGTTTTCTGGCCTCGATGAGCCACGAACTGCGCACGCCGCTCAATGCGATTTTGGGGTTCTCGGAGGCCATGCATAGCGAGATGCTGGGGCCGATCGACAATGAGAACTACAAGACCTATGTCGGCGACATCCATGCCTCGGGCAAACATCTGCTCAATCTGATCAACGAGATCCTCGATCTCAGCAGGGTCGAGGCGGGCAAGTACGAGCTGCGCGAGGAAGCATTGCGGCTGACCGATGTCGCCGAAGACTGTATGGCGCTGGTGCGCATGAAGGCCGGCCAGAAGCAGATCGCCATCAAGCCCGTTTTCCAGGACGGCCTGCCCCGCATTCTCGCGGACGAAAAGGCGGTGCGGCAAATCATGCTCAACATGCTGTCGAACGCGGTCAAGTTCACGCCCAATGGCGGGCTGATCGAGTTCAAGGTCGGCTGGACCGCATCGGGCGGCCAGTATGTGACGGTCAAGGACAATGGTCCGGGCATTCCCGAGGACGAGATTCCGGTCGTCCTGTCCGCTTTCGGTCAGGGCTCGATCGCCATCAAGAGCGCCGAACAAGGCACGGGGCTCGGCCTGCCCATCGTCCAGGCGCTGCTGGCCATGCATGGCGGCGGTTTCACGCTGAAATCCAAGCTGCGCGAAGGCACCGAAGCCATCGCCATGTTCCCCGCCGCGCGCGTCATGGAAGTGCTGCCTGCCGAGCCGGTCGCCGAAAACGAACGCCCCGCCCGCCGTGGCCTTCTGCGCCGGTCGCGCGCTGCCTGACCGGAACCCTATGCCTCCTTGCCGCTGACGCCGGCCTGCTCGAAGGTCGCCATGCCCGAATGGCATTGCGCCGCCGCCTTGACGATGCCGGCGGCAAGCGCCGCGCCCGTTCCCTCGCCCAGCCTCATGCCCAGATCGAGCAGCGGCGTCTTGCCGAGCCGTCCGACGGCCGCGCGATGTCCCGGCTCGGCCGATACATGGCCCATCAGGCAATGGTCGAGCGCGGCCGGGTCGGCCGCGTGGAGGACCGCCGCGGCGCTCGTTGCCACGAACCCGTCGATGATGACCGGAATGCGCTCGACCCGTGCGGCAAGGATCGCGCCGGCCATCGCCGCGATCTCGCGGCCGCCGAGACGCCGCAGGACCTCTAGCGGGTCGCTCAGATGTGCCTTGTGCAAGGCCACCGCGCGCGCCACGGCCTCGGCTTTGCGAGCGATGCCGGCTTCATCGGCTCCAGTCCCCGGCCCCACCCAGTCGGTCGCCTCGCCGCCATAGAGCGCATGGAAGATGGCGGCGGCAACGGTCGTGTTGCCGATCCCCATCTCGCCGATGCACAAAAGGTCGGTGCCGCCGGCGATCGCCTCCATGCCGAACGCCATGGTCGCCGCGCAGGTGCGCTCGTCCATCGCCGCCTCCTGCGTGATGTCGGCGGTTGGCATGTCGAGCGCCAGATCGAACACCTTCAATCCCAGATCGTGGGCAATGCAGATCTGGTTGATCGCCGCGCCGCCGGCAGCGAAATTCTCGACCATCTGCGCGGTCACCGATGCGGGAAAGGGCGACACGCCCTGCGCGGTGACGCCGTGGTTTCCGGCGAAAACGGCGACCAGCGGCCGCGTCACCGCCGGCGAACGTCCGGTCCAGGCCGCAAGCCATTCGGCGATCTCCTCGAGCCGTCCCAGCGAGCCGGCCGGCTTGGTCAGCGTTGCCTCGCGTGCCCGCGCGGCGGAAGCCGCCTGCTCGTCGGGTCCGGGCAGATTGGTCAACAGCGCGCGAAAATCGTCAAACGGCAGTCCGGTGGTCAATTCGTTTCTCCTGCGCGATGGATCGCCGCGGCGGCGGCCGGTGTTCGGGGCGCACTTGGCCTGCCGGGCCCCGCGATGTAAAGCGGCAAGCATGCCCCATTGTCACAAAACGTCGGAACGCGCGCGATGACGCCGGCATCGGTCGCGCGTGCGCTTGGCTTTTTGACCCGCCTGCCGGTGCCGGCGCGCTTCTTTGGCGCCGGCCAGGTTGCGCTCTCGGACGATGCAGGCAGCTTCGCACTGGCCGGCGCATTGATCGCCGTGCCCGGTGCCGTGCTGCTGCTGATTGGCGCAGTCTTCGGCGCGCCGCCCTTGATGATGGCGGGCATCGCGGTCTTGGCAACGATCGCGCTGACCGGTGCCCTGCATGAAGACGGGTTGGCCGACACGGCCGATGGATTTGGCGGCGGCGCCACCGGCGAGCGGCGCATGGACATCATGCGCGATTCAGCCATCGGCACCTATGGCGTGCTGGCGGTGATCGCGTCGGTTCTGCTTCAGGTCACAGCTTTGGGCGCGCTCGCGGAAACCGGCGTGATCCAGGCCGCCTTCGCATTCGTTGCGGCCCACACCGCCTCGCGCGCCGCCATGGTCTGGCATTGGTCGAAAACGCCGCCGGCGCGCACCGATGGGGTCGCCGCGGCGTCGGGACAACCCCCCACAACAGCCGTGAACGCGGTTCTGGTCGGCGCCGGGATCGTCCTCGCATTGGCCGCGATCCTCGCAACCGGCGTCGTCGTCACGGCGCTCGCCGCGGTTGCCGTTTCTGCGGCAACGGCCGGCTTCTCGCGCCTGTCCGGCCGCCTGATCGGCGGGCACACCGGCGACACGATAGGCGCGACCGAACAAATTGCGCGCTCGGTGATGCTGGTCGGCCTTGCAATGGCCGCCTGAAGGCCCAGATCAGGACCATCAAGAACCGGAAATGCCGATGTCCGACGCCATTGAATCGCCCTGCATCCTGGTCTGTTCCATCGACATGGCGACCGGCTTTTGTCATGGCTGCGGCCGGACACGCGACGAAATCGGCGCATGGACGCTTTATTCGGCCGAACAGCGCCGGCGGGTCATGGACACCCTGCCCGGCCGCATCGCCACCATCGAGAAGAAGCCGCGCCGCGAGACGAGGCGCCAGCGCATCGCCCGCCTGAAGGAACAGGGCGAAAGCTGAACGCCGATGTTCTTCATCGTTCTTGCCATCATCGCCGGCGCGCTCATTGTCCTGTTTGCGGCGGGCGATACAACCGCCATCGCCGGCATGAGCGGAGACCAGTTCGCCTCGCTCGTCTTTCTCGGCCTGATCGGCACGACGCTGGCCGCCAGCCTTCTCGCCGGCCGCCAACGCGCGGGCGACCTGATCCGCCAGATCGCCATCTGGGTCGCCATCATTCTGGCGCTGGTCGCCGGCTATGAGTACCGGTTCGAACTGCAGGATGCGACAAGCCGCATCAGCGCGGGTCTCGTACCCGGTTCGGCGCGCACCGCCACCGCCGAGGATGGCAGCCGCACCGTTACGATCAGCCGCAATCAGCGCCATTTCGCAACCCGCGCCGACGTCAACGGCCAGCCGCTCCGTTTCATCGTCGACACCGGCGCGTCATCGATCGTGCTGACCCATGACGCCGCCGCCAGCGCGGGCTTCGACACCGACGCCCTGCGCTATGTGGTGCCGGTGATGACCGCCAACGGCACCACACGGGCCGCGCCGGTGACGATCGACCGGATCGCGATCGGCGGTATCGAGCGCGCCGGCCTTTCGGCGCTCGTCGCCGAAGACGGCCAATTGTTCGAAAATCTGCTCGGCATGAACTTTCTGGATACGCTGTCCGGCTTCGAGGTCGCCGGCGACCGTCTGGTGCTGCGCGACTGAGGTCTCAGCCGGCCAGAACGCTGACCATGAAGCGCGCCGAGACCAGCAGCATGAACAGCCCGAACCCCAGTTCGAGCTGGCGCTTGTTCAGCCGGTGCGCGGCCCGCACCCCCAGCGGCGCCACCGCGAGCGTCACCGGGATGATGATCGCCACGGCGATCCAGTTGACATAGCCGGTCGACATGACGGGCAGGCCCGGCGCTGCCCACCCCGCCCAGATGGCGCCAAGAACGCCCGGAATGGAGATCAGGACGCCCACCCCGGCCGACGTCGCGACCGCCTGATGGATCGGGCGTCCGCTCAGCGTCATGAAGGTGTTGTTGAGAATGCCGCCGCCAATCCCCATCAGCGTCGACAGAAAGCCGATTCCGATGCCGGCCGAAAACCGTCCCGCCCGGCCCGGCAGATCGTCCGCCAAGCGCCAGCTGTCGCGCCCGAACAGAAGCTTCAGCCCCACCAGCAGCGCCAGAACGGCGAAGACCAGCCGCAGCCCGCCGCTCGATATCGACGCAAACACCAGAGCCGCGATCACCACACCCGCCGGCACGGCGATCACGTAGCTGCGCAGCAGGTCCATGTCGACGGCGCCGCGCGCCCGGTGCGAGGCGAAAGACCGCAGCGATGTGGGCACGATCACGGCCAGCGAGGTTCCGACGGACAGGTGCATGCGAACCGCATCGTCGATGCCCATCAGGCCGAACACCTGAAAGAAAACCGGCACGAGGATGGCCCCGCCGCCGATGCCGAACAGGCCGGCGAGCAGCCCGGCCACCGCGCCCGCGCCGGCGAGCGCGATGATCATCAGGACAATGTCGGCAAATCCGGTCATGGCACGGGGGCAGATTTCATCGAGGCGTCCGCCTCATGGCGGGCTTTTGCCGTCGGCGCAAGGACGGTTCGGGCGGCTCCGGTTCGTTTCAGGCAGCCAGCGCGCCGGCATCCTCGATCAGCGACAGCCCCTGGCGGAGCACATCGCCGTTCGCGCCGGGCAGCACGGCCTTTTCCGACAGATGCCGGCGCCATTGCCGCGCGCCCGGCCGTCCGTGGAACAGCCCGACCATGTGCCGGGTGACATGGCTGGCCCTGCCGCCTTCGCCGACATGACGATCGGTGTGTTCGGCCATCACCGAAACGACCCGGTCAAGATCGGGCTCCGGTCCATCGAGGCGATAGACCCGGAGGTCAACCTCCACAAGAATACCGGGCGTCTGATAGGCCGCCCGGCCGATCATTGCGCCATCGACGGCCGCAAACTGCTCTATCGCCTGATTCAGATTGGCAAGACCGCCATTGATCCCGATGAAATGGTTGGGAAAATCGCGCTTGAGTGCATGCACGAGCGGGTAGTCGAGCGGCGGCACGTCGCGGTTCTCCTTCGGGCTGAGCCCGTCGAGCCAGGCCTTGCGCGCATGCACCCATAGCGCGTCCGCGCCGGCCTCGACCACCGGCCCTGCCAGGGCCCAGAGCGCGTCGCGCGGCTCCTGTTCGTCGACGCCGATCCGGCATTTGACGGTGACCGGGACAGGCCCCGCAGCACGCTTCATCGCCGCGACACAGCGCGCGACCAGATCGGGCGAGCGCATCAGGCAGGCGCCGAACGTGCCCGATTGCACCCGGTCGGACGGGCAGCCGACATTGAGATTGATCTCGTCAAAGCCGTGACCGGCGCAGATACGCGCCGCTTCCGCGAGCTTTTCCGGATCGCTGCCGCCGAGCTGCACCGCGAGCGGATGCTCGGCCGGATCGAACCGCAAGAGCCGTTCGCGCGCGCCATGGATCACCGCATCGGCGACGACCATCTCCGTGTAGAGCAGCGCATGGCGGGTCAATTGCCGGTGAAAAAGCCGGCAGTGGCGGTCCGTCCAATCCATCATGGGCGCGATGGCGAAACGTCGAGATACGCTGATCTGCGACTTTCCTTCTTTTCCCACCACCAGGTCCATTTCTCTCATCTTTTGCCGTTGCCTCGTTTCGGCTCGCTGTGCACCCTTTTTGCCCGGAAAGCACATCGGAAGTGGGACCGCTGACGGCAATTTTCCACCGATATGGGCGCCATCGTAAAGCGTTCGCGCAAGGACGGGTCTGTAGCATGGCTCGCGCAGATTGTCATAAAGCGCGGCGGCAAGATCGTTCTGCGCGAGAACTGAGCCACGCCCCGACCGTTGGACGGGTTCCGGCGTGGATTGAGCTACTCTCTGCACTTGCTGATCGGTTTGGGTTTCGTCTTTTCTCAACCGATAGGCCATGGCTGGAGGCTTGCCGCCAAGGGCGGAATGGGGCGCCCGCGACGGCCTTTGGAATCCGTTGAAATGCGCACGACGGATCGGCGCAGGCGGGCAATCCGGGCGAACGACGTGAACCGGCTGCCCTTGTCGGTGTTTGGGACCCCAGCCGAAGCGAAGTGATGGACGGCCTCGTTCAACACCTTGACGCAGAAGTCGGCCTCCAATGTGTTCGAGATGCGCCAGACCGGAACCTTGCGCGTATGCCAGTCGCGGATTGCCACGGAAGACATGAACCCGCGCCGCATCGGCAGGAACGGGATGTCGTCACACCAAACCGGATTGGGCCGGGCCACCCGTAAACCGCGCTGCAGATAGGACAGGTTTTGTGGCGTGTGGCCGGTTTTCTGGTGTTCGGCTTGTGCCGGCCGGCATAAGGCGCATCAGTCGACGGACGCTCTAAGAAAGGTAGGACTGCTCCGTGTGGCCAAAGCCGGCATGCAAACTCGATTCGATCAACGTCTTCGTATAGGCGCTGTGCGGATTTTCGAAGACGTGCCTGCTGGCACCGGTTTCCACGATCCGCCCCGATTTCATGACAATGATCGTGTCACTGATTTCGGCGGCGATCGCGAGATCATGCGTGATGAAGATCAGAGACAGGTTCATTTCCTTCTTCAGGTCTTCCAGCAAATCCAGGATCCTGCGCTGGATCGTGACGTCGAGTGCCGACACGGGCTCGTCGGCGACGACAACTTCCGGATCCAGGCACAATGCCCGCGCGATCGCGATGCGTTGGCGCTGCCCGCCGGAAAATTCTTGCGGAAACCGGTTGGCGGCACTCGCATCGAGCCCGACACGCTCCAGCCATTTGTCCATTGTCCGTTTCGCCTCCAAACCGGGAATGCCGCTCGCCTTGAGGTTGCGCATCATCTGCGTCCCAATCCGGCAACGCGGATTGAGCGAGGAGAACGGATCCTGGAAGACCATCTGGATGCGCCGGCGCGCGCGTCTCAAATCTGATCCCTTGAGTGCGGAAAGGGTGTCTTTGCCCAAGGTGACGCTACCCGAATCCGGCTGCAACAAATGCATCAGAATGCGCCCCAACGTCGACTTTCCGGACCCGGATTCGCCCACGATTGAGATGGTTTCGCCGCGATGAAGCGTGAAGCTCACATCATCTGACGCAACAACATCGCCCATCTTTCGCCATGACCCGGAACCGCGATAGACCTTCTTGATGTCGCGCGCCTCAAGCACCGGCTCGCCTTTCCCGACGGCCGCCGGCGCTACGGGTGTGCCCTTGGGTACGGAGTCCAGAAGCTGGCGGGTGTATCCGTGCTTCGGCCGGTTCAGAACTTCGGCGGCCGTCCCTTGCTCCACCAGAATGCCGTGACGCATGACCGCCACCCGATCAGCGATTTCCGCGACCACGCCGAAATCGTGCGTGACGAACATGACCGCCATCTGCATTTCGCGCTGCACTTTGCGAATGAGATCCAGAATCTGGGCCTGCGTGGTGACATCCAGGGCTGTGGTCGGTTCGTCGGCGATCAACAGCCTCGGCCGCAGCACCAGGGCCATGGCAATCATGACGCGCTGCCGCTGTCCACCCGACAATTCCTTCGGATAGCGTCTGAGCATCCGCTCCGGTTCGGGGAACCCGACCGATTCGAGCACCTCCAGCACCATGTCCCGGCGTTTCGACTTGGCAAGTTGGCGGTGAAAGCGAATGCTTTCATCGATCTGGTCGCCAATACGCATCAGCGGGTTGAGCGTCGACATCGGCTCCTGAAAGACCA